CTTATGCCTGAGTGTGAGGCACCTGCTTGTATGTTTTTTAGGATGTCCTTGGTGTCGATTAGTTTGGCCACTGTGATTACTGCTACTGTGGTTTGTTCTGCAATTCCTGATTTCTCATGTTTGTGACTCTCAAAGTCAGATTTTTTTTAAACTTCCTCTTGCAATTTCTTTTCCATGACACAGCCATGGCTGGTTTATCCGGTCGTTAAGTGATGACGTGACGAATCCTACTTCCGGGTCTAAAGTAGTCTGCGTTTAATATGGCTTTTGTGTTGTTAACATGTTTAATGTTTTGTATTTTCTTCTATTTAATCTCAAAAAGCTCCTAAAACAGTCAGTGATCACTGTTGACCTCCCTCGGCTTTTATTACCGCTAATCATTTATTTAAGCTCAGTTTTTAAAACCTTAGGATGTAACTACAGCCCAGCCCATGCAGCAGTATATGAATGACTAACCTCGTATTGTGGATGGATTATCTCAGTTGTTCTCCTGGCTGAAGTTTGGTCCTTTTACAGCATCCTGCCATGCGATTACATTTGTTCCTGACCACCGAGAACACTCACGTTAACTTTTATCAGTGGAAAAAAAGTTATCTTGTTTATATTATGCTAACATAGCTGTGTCGCTAGCGGTCACGTAGCACATCATTATATAGCAGCTAGCCCAACTTCAGTAACCCTACAAACGTCACTGCTGTTTAGTTTTCTGTCTTCATTTATGCTGGAAGTGATAACAGAGCTGTATGTTTTAATTTGTTTCCAAAACCCTGCAGTCAGGACATGCTATATTGTATTTAGATAGAAGCTAGCGAGCTAACTCCCTGCTAACTTCTAACTCCGTTAAATGTCATAAATTCCGTTTTCATGGATGCCTGGATGTTAAACTCAATTGTTACACCTGGTAGAGCAGAACGCTGATCATTTTATTAAAGATGAAAGACTTTAGACAGTTTTTCAACTCTCAGTAATGTCATAGTGATCGTTTGATATATGGACCTGCAGCGGAGTTTAGGCCCAGACACGGCTAGTGATGTCAGACTGAACAACCGGATAAGTATAGTCGTACAATTTGGACATCTGGAAATTACAGGCCTTTGTGTCATTTGTGCCATTGGTGGTGCTACTGTGCTAGAGGGATGCACATCTAATGGGTTCCTCTTTTCTATCGTTGTCCAATTCTCCACTATCTTTACTTCTCCATCTGCTCTATTCTCATCCTAACTTTAAAATAATTTTAGTGGCAGATTGTACAATAAAAACTTAAAATCCTCAAGGTTGTTTCTGTGGAAAAAGTAAAGTCCATTTACAGGACCTGGATTGGAACAAATTCGATTTTATAAATAAATGAGAAATGACACAAGTGAATTTAACAAGATGCAGGCCAAAACTGGCCTTCACAAATGGTCTTTTTACTGTGGCTAAGTGTACTAAAATGACCAGCCACTTACAGTACGACACGATAAAGTAGAAATTCAGTTAAGCACCAAAGTAGGAGCAAGAAAAAGGACAGGGGTTGTTTGAAAATTGAGAAGCACATGGAGATAAGGGGAAAAGAGCAAAAATGAAAAATTAGGCTTGGGAAAGAAAGCCCTTCATAGCTTAGCGGGGCTATCGGGAGGATACAAAGACAAGAATAACGCCTCAACAAATGGGGGACTCCTGACAGTGCTGTCATGAGCTAAGACGGAACATCAGGGATGGGAAAAGGTTACACAAAGGGCACTACTCTTGTTTTACTGTCTCAGCGATCATCCTTTAGCATGATTCGTGGACAGGTGCTCCTTTTAAATGGCCCTGGAGGGCCGTGTCGTGGAAAGGAGCACACGGCGAGACTCACAAGTTCAACAAAGAACTACAGATCAATGCAGAGTGTGAAAGTGCGCTGATTGCAGAGTGGTGCTGTATATAGGGGGAGTGAAAGGAATAAGGTAGGGGAATAAATGAGCGGCAAATGAGCCCAGTAGTTTTAGAGAATATCATTTAATGTCGTGCTTGTTGGAGGTTATCGACTTTGCAGTTTTACCCTTTTTTTAACCACGGTCTCTTAGCACTTCCAATATGACGTCTCCAAATGCATCAAAGGCTTAAGAGGAAATGTCACAGCAATTATCAAATTAAACCATTTCAGTTCATGTGCCTCAATTAGTATTGTAATTTTTCTCATCACTGAACCAAGGCTATAAGTGCTTTGAAAAACTGATATTGCAATTGCTGTTTAAAACCTAACCCACAGAAGTTGACACCTTAAACCTCACTGAGGAAATTTACTGTTTTGTTTCTCTCAGTTCACTTCAATTCAACTAAATGTTATTTATATAGCAACAAATCACAACAAAACTTCCCTAAGTGTTTTATATTGAGTGGTAAAGACTCCATTATCACACAAAGAAAACAGAGAAAACCCCAACAATCAAATAATCTATCAAAACAAGTGCTTTGGTGACAGCGGGAAGGAAAAACTCCCTTTTAACAGGAAGAAACCTGTGAGGCTACCTGAGCTAGCTCACCAACATGAGTTATTTCTGGTGTTTGCGTTAAAGACATTTTGATCAACAGTGTTTGAAAATTGTAGAATAAAAAATCTGATGTCACGATCAACGTAGATGCCATGGGAAGTTGGTATCTGCTGGCTTACCTTCAAACCTCCAGGGGAAAAACAGTAATTACTGGGCTGCCCACTCACCAAAGTATTATCCAGCATCCAGAAGTAGCATGTCATTGTCAACGCAAGCCCATGCAAAACCGGGAGAAATTAAAAAAATAATAACAATATGCAGACACTCAGCCTTGCAGGACTAATCAGCACAGACCTCCACGTCTAGAAATAAAGATCCAAATGTAAAACTGTGAATTAGCTTCTCTAATTGTAATACTTCAAAGCCAAACCTCAGGCATTAGCAATCAACACTCCCCTGCTCATTTCCACCCTCTATCTAGGGTAAACTACTACAAACAAATTCTCAACCGTCATAAGTCTCCAAGAGGAAGAAAATATTGGCAGATTTAGCCGGGGTTAGCCATGAGCCATTCAAATTCTAATCTCTTAAAATGCAGGCACATGCCACAAAGCCTGAGCAAACAGACAAAGCCATCTCTAATAAAAATGACATTGGAGTGCAGTGACAGCTTCTCCAGCCATTCTCTGTCAAGCTTAGATTTCTCATTATCATTGGGAGACAGCAGTGCAAATCATTTAGCTCCAAATGAGACACCGCTTTCACTCTGTGCCGTGATTGGTTCAGTCAGCAGGTGGCAGCTGGTAGACAATGATGCTGTGTCTCTAACTTGTCAATCGATCCCAGCCTGGATCAAACCCCTTCAGGTCAGGTCCATGCAACATTTGCCCCAGCTGCCATGTGTAGTGTTAAAGTTATGGTCCATAGAGTATTGCTATCCGGTTGTTCAGTCTGACGTCACTAGCCGTGTCTGGGTCTAAACTGCGCTGCAGGTCCATATATCAAATGATCACTATGGCATTACTGAGAGTTGAAAAACTGTCTAAAGTCTTTCATCTTTAATAAAATGATCAGCGTTCTGCTCTACCAGGTGTAACAATTGAGTTTAACATCCAGGCATCCATGAAAACGGAATTTATGACATTTAACGGAGTTAGAAGTTAGCAGGAAGTTAGCTCGCTAGCTTCTATCTAAATACAATATAGCATGTCCTGACTGCAGGGTTTTGGAAACAAATTAAAACGTACAGCTCTGTTATCACTTCCAACATAAATGAAGACAGAAAACTAAACAGCAGTGACGTTTGTAGGGTTACTGAAGTTGGGCTAGCTGGTATATAATGATGTGCTACGTGACCGCTAGCGACACAGCTATGTTAGCATAATATAAACAAGCTAACTTTTTTCCCACTGGATAAAAGTTAACGTGAGTGTTCTCGGTGGTCAGGAACAAATGTAATCGCATGGCAGGATGCTGTAAAAGGACCAAACTTCAGCCAGGAGAACAACTGAGATAATCCATCCACAATACGAGGTTAGTCATTCATATACTGCTGCATGGGCTGGGCTGTAGTTACATCCTAAGGTTTTAAAAACTGAGCTTAAATAAATGATTAGCGGTAATAAAAGCCGAGGGAGGTCAACAGTGATCACTGACTGTTTTAGGAGCTTTTTGAGATTAACTAGAAGAAAATACAAAACATTAAACATGTTAACAACACAAAAGCCATATTAAACGCAGACTACTTTAGGCCCGGAAGTAGGATTCGTCGCGTCATCACTTAACGACCGGATTGACGTGTAGAGCCAAAGTGCTCAGGACTTTGGAGTTTGAGCAGAAAAGGTGAGTTCCTTTGCAGATTCTATTTGGGAACTGCATGCTATGAAATGTCCTAAGGGACTCTACAAGGTAGCAAAGTTGGGGTATATCTGAAAGGACACACTATGGGTTTATTTAAAGAGAATTTTAACAGGTGTGTGGAACAAGCTGAATCACTTGCAATGGCCAAGTCGGTATGTTTTCAGTAGAATCAATTTTGGTCCCATTTTCATGCATGCTCGCTAGTTCACAAAAAGGGAAGCAGCACAAAAGGCTGATTTACATTTTGCAATGCAATGCAAATTCCTTGTTAGTAAGTACCTTTACGTTCTCAAATCAAAATGATGCTGACTGGGACTTTCAGACTGCAAGCCAAAAGCTTCCATGATAAGCATTTTTATTGTACTGTTGTGTCACTGAGTTATTTTTTATTTTTTTACATTTAGACCACTCCGCTCTCTTACTGCAGCTTATCCCTCCATGACACACATTCAGTAAATGTATGCATTTTACCAAAAAGGGGGAAAGAACGCTACACATCCAGCTGGGTACAGTGGCCCCTGAATAGGCAGCGGCTCCATGTCTCGCTCAACAGACCTCAGAGAGATACTGACACATTCACTGTTGCACATGATCGATCTCATAAATCTATAAATTCACATACAGTACGGACCGATCCACCCACTGCACCACAGAGAGACACGATTTCCGGAGTCGGACACTAACCTGTGGCGGAGGGAGGCCGCCCGCGCCGGGCGGGCAGTCGGGCAACATCATTGTCCGTTTAGGAGTGCCGCACTCGCAGCCGGGGGAGGGGTTAGACATGCTCCAGTTTCCATTCAGAAAGATGTCAGCGACTGACTGATCCACGGAGGGAGTGAACCAATCAGACCCCGTGGAGGAACAAGGTAGATTCCTGCAGGAAAATGAGCATGAATATTTCACCGGCAACCGATCACCCCTGTCACCTACATCCATCACTATATACCTTATTTCCACTTTTTCTTAAACACTGCTGGTGTTTGGGGGATAAATCATAACAGTAGCAAAGCTTTATCATCGTTTTAATACAGCTTTGTATTTTTAAGACTCCTGGAAAATAACCACTTAATTAAAAGATTACAGTTTGTGTTTTAATAATGCATGCACAACAGGCCATTCAGAGCGGCTGCCGTAAACAAGAACTTCCGAGGACTCCGAACGCTTTAATATTTCCATCTCATAGGTTTAAACAGGTATTCATTATTCAGCTTATCCTGATCAAGACTGCAGAGAAAGCTCATTATTTATTGATCAAATTTGTTTTTACAAATTGGTTTTCAAAATCCTGCCAAGCATTTTTTTTCCTAGCTCCATGCCTGCTGCTGGATTTGTCGGAAAGAGGCTGATACACGCATGCATAACAACTCGCCAAACATACACAGCTTGCAAAGATTCAGACTCTGTCAGTATCATTTGGTTTTGATGTTTGGCTGGATTCTTAATTTGCGACTCGTGTATACCCAGCCTACTTACGGTATAGGGTCTCCTTTCATGCAGCGTGTCCCAAAGCCAGGCTTGTTCAACAAGCTTTCCACCACCTGGGACACCTCCGTATTTCCTGGCCCATCGTTGCTGTAAAATTCAACATAAAATAATGAAAAATTCCTCATTAAATATTTCAGTTTAATCTCTCACAGAAGGTCCACATAGCAATTTAATCCATGAGCGCCAGCCAGTCTGTCACAATGTCAATAAAACAGACAAACAAGAATTAAATAGGCATTATGAAAGAGAATGAACTTGGACAATGGCCTGTTGTGGCAGAATCGCTGCATAATGGGAAACGTGAGAACAGGGTGTCTACGGGTAAAGTAAAATTTAAAGACTGTTTTAATGTCCCTTTTAGGCCAAACTGTGCACAAATCACGACTGAAAATCTGCTCGTTATAAGGCAACACATTCAGAAATAAACAGTGTTTTTGTGACAGGCTGATGTTTTTTTAATGCTTGTGTGATTTAGAGGTCAGTGAAGACAAAATTCTTTAAAACCCGACTTTTTGGAAGCAAAGTACAAATCATGAAGGATGGGTCAACACTTTTACTCTAGCAGGGGAAGTGTTAATTCACCAGCTTAAAGTCATGTCGGTGTCCATCCATCCATCCTTTTTCTGACTCTTATCCTGTCCAGGTCATGGCGGCAGTGGTCTAAGCATGTTGTGGGTCTACCCTAAGGCAGGGGTGTCCAACTCCAGGCCTCGAGGGTCGGTGTCCTGCAGGTTTTAGATGCGTCCTTGATCCAGCAAGCTGACTTAAATGGTTAGATTACCTCCTCAACATGTCTTGAAGTTCTCCAGAGGCCTGGTGATGAACTAATCATTTGATTCAGGTGTGCTGACCAGGGTGATATCTGAACCCTGCAGGACACCTGCCCTCGAGGCCTGGAGTTGGACACCCCTGCCTTAAGGCCCCCTCCTAGTATGACATGCCAGAAAAACTTCACCTAGACCTAGGAGTTGTCCAGAAGACGCCCTGATCTGATACCCAAACCACCTCAACTGGCTTCATTCAGTGTGGAGGAGTAGCAACTCTACTTTGAGACCAAGCTCCTGACTCTATAGCTGGCAGTCTAATCGCCAGTTGTGTATTCTCAAGGTATTTCTTGTTATATGAGCATCTTCCCACTTCCACAGAGTAAAGAGCTGGAAGCAGGGAGTCTTAGCTATCATCATCACACACGTTCCACCAGTGTATTGCCAAAATGAAACTCCCAGACAGTCCCAGGCATCTGGGATTTGTTTTGTTTAGGCATGAGATACAACCATTACATTAGTTTTTGTATGTCATAATTAATAATAATTTATTGTTAATAGTTCTGTGTATGTATATACATCAGTTTATATATATAAAAGACTAAAGAGCAGTAACATTATGTAACTTTTAAGACCTTTTATAAGGTCCAAAACAACATGACTGTTATAAATCTGTTAAATCAAGTGAAACTTCAGAGCTAGTTCAATCAGAAAAACCAGTATCTGAGGTTCTATAGATATTTGTTTTAGAAGTCCTGTCTATCGTCTCCTGCAGCACTTGATTGGGACATTTAGAGTGCCGTCTAATTCATTTTCCATATTGACAAAGAAGAGAAGATTGGAGTGACCATTAATGCCAAACAAATCTTTACATTCAAGAACTCCTGAGAAGAAATGAAACACGCTGCCTCGAGGATTCGATGTGTTGAAACGCTCAATAGCAATGCTCAGTGCTGCTGGAGTTATCTTAACTGAGAATGAGAGAAAAATCTCAGAGTTTACCAACTCCGTTTTTCGGCCAGAGAGTCAAAACTTCTTTGACATCACTTATTTAAACATTATCGACTGTAAAGCGATTATGTCTATAGCCCGAGCTCAGTGCAAGCACGAGCCGATATGAGCCTGATCGAGATTCTGTGTACAGTACGGGCTCCTCGAAGCCTTTCATTATTATCCCAGTGTCCTGTACATATCTAAGCCCGGTCTCAGTTAAACAGTCTTCAGATTCCAGTCCTGTTCTCATTACTAACCACACACACGCTGCCCTTTATCTTAAGGGTACTGTGGGAGTTAAAACACAGTGTTTCATAGAGACCACAGCGATGGCTTCCTGCCAGCTGTAGCCACAGCCCGGCCAACCGTTTGGATTAATACAGTGTTCATTGTCTCATTTAGAGGCGTCTCCGTGAAGGTCACGCGGTCATTTTCTTGGCCACCAGCGAGCGCGATTGAAGTGGTCTGATTGTAAAAATGGATTATGTGCAGCCATCTGTTTTGCTATTAACAATGGCTGGGTTACCATGTTATTAAAGATAATAAAACTATTGGACGGTTGTAAAACGAAGACTTGTGCATACACACAGAAACAGCGGAACTAATGAAGAGTTTATCTAGTCAAAATGACACAGCATAGATGAACTGAAGATAACTGCAGAAAGTCAAATGAAGGCCACGTGACGACACAGAATAGAAAAAAAAAAAAACTGTTGGTCCACAGAGCAAATGTCCCAACTATTAAAATTTTAAATGAGCCTATATTTAAAAATAATCAAGTCACTTCACATCTAAATCATGTTTTGTTTTTGTTTTTTATTTTATACAGCATGTTTTGGATTTCAGCACTGTGGAAAGAGACTTGAATGAATTAGCACCACGGACAGAGCGAGGCTCACACTTAGGTCTGTTTCAGCACCACGGAGAGAGACAGCACTGCATTTTGGCAAAGGCAATGGTTCAGTTGCATTTTTTAAATGGCCTTTCGTGTATGTGAGAATCACCTAAAACCTCACTGTACATTTTAAAAGACTTTTTAAATGACTTATTAGCAGCTCTCAGTGCGGTGACAAGTTCTAGGGCTGCTGCTAACAATGCCGTCAGTTTTAAGTTTTAGGAAGACTCTGGTGACTCCATCCATCTATCCACTTGGGTACATCCTGGACAGGTCGCATGAAAACTAGAAAAAGGGTTAGCTGTTTCTCCTCACAGCTGTCTGTCCAGGGTGATGATGATCAGAAATCATCAAAAAGAAAAAAAAATGCCTGTTTATATATTTAACCTGTCGAGCATGTGATATCAAAACTGTGGTCTAAAGAAAGACGTGCGTATACTTCATAGCAGCACAAAACGTAGCGGAGTAAACTGATGCAGGAGGGTAAAGTAAGTCATGTAAACTGAATCTGCAGGAAGTGTCATTTGTAATTACATAAAGTGTTATGAAAGCAACCATAAAATTCTGCTGCAAAAGAGCATTAAAATGTTTCAGTTAGTGGTAACGGAAATAAAACAGAACTAAAATCTAAAGTTTATGATCCAGATGACTAGAATGCAGGCTCTATATTACATCATATCTTCACTCCGACCAACAGCTTTGTTTCTGTCTTGAACGAGCCACTTTCTCACGAGGCAACACTTATTACCTATTATGCCTCGATATCCTCTGAGCGAATTTCCTCAAAGTGCCTCAGTGGGAAATGAAACACCTGTAGGCTGAATAACTAACAAACACCTCTTCGTCACAGGAGCGCGGGATGAATTACGAGTAGTTCGCTGGCCTTGACAGAAGCTGCAAATGTTGATTAAATTGTTGCAGCACTCACGTTGTTACATCGAAAGGGTCATGTTACAGCAATTTTGACTTTACTGGTGTGAACGTGGAGGTATTTAACTATAAAATCCATACCAGCTCATCACCATCATTAACATCCTTGAGGCTCGGGCGGGGGGGGAAAAGAAAATTGGAGAAATACTTCAGTACGCCTTCAGGCTTTTCTAACAAATCTATTTAAAAGCATGGGTTGTTCCATAATTTAAGTATTGCTGTTGCCTAAAATTAACAAAAGAAAAGCTGTAAAGTGGAGAGAATAATAATAATAAAAGACAAAAAAATGGTAAATTAAGTCCAAAGGCAACATTTACTTTTCACCTCACCTGACTTCCAAAAATATTTCTGCAATTATTTTCCATCCTCCTTCCCCAAAGTTGCAAAGCTGTGACATCACTGTGGGCGGCTGTGGCTCAGGAGTTATTAGAGGCCATCTAACCCGAGTCGCCCGGCTCAGTCCAGGTGCTGGGGCCATAGAGCAAGCACCGTATGGATCTGTGTGTGTGTGATTTGGTGAATGGGGCTTGTAATGAAATGTGCTTTGAGAGCTCAATTAGAGGAGAAGCTCTATATAAGCACCAGTCCATTTACACGATGCGCTTACAATGGGCGCTGTGGTAACAACACCAAAACAGCAATATTAGATGGAGTGATTTACAGTGGTGCATATCAGCGCGCCGCACGCGCCTCCTGAAGTGCTTTCAAAGTCCACTGGAGCCGGGCCTTGTCACAAGCTTTGCCATTTATTTGCAATGACGCTGAACGGCAGCCGAGGACGGGCGGTGTCCAGATCGACGTCCTCGGCGAGATCATCTCTCAGAAATGAAACGGCGAGGCCCGTTTCTGTAACATTTTTGTATTTTTTGCGCTTTGATTTTTCCATCTTTGAAGTTGAACTTTCCTACACAGTTGCAGAGTGTGTTGTTTATCTACTCAACCATGTCTGCTATTACAACTACCCACTGCTCCCTTAAATTATTCAGACCCCATCTGCCTCTGATAACAGTACAGATCATTTGTTAGAAGATTCCTTCGCTGTGAAAATCACGTTGATTCGGTTTCATGAAACTGCAATAACCTTACTGATGTTACTGTTGTATGACATCATTCAGCAGCAGTATCTCCTAAACTTAAAAAAATCTAAAATACATCACAGGTTGTTGTTAAGGCTCAAATCTAAATTAGAATCTGGGGTGAACTCGATTAAAATGCCATTTTAACTGATACCTGAAGAAAAACCACAAATCATTACTACATCTTAAACACGTTACCTATAGAAGGTGGTTTGAGGCAGGCCATACATCCAGGGCTGCAGCTCCAGGGGTGGAAATTCGGTGAACGGCGGGACGATGAGGGAGAAGATCAGAGAGAGGCAGACAAAAAAAGCAGGCAAGACCACCTAGGAGGATGGTGACAAATTTAACAGTCAAAAAAAGAAAAAAAACAACTTTCTTTTTTTTCCTTTTAACAGTTTCTGCTCTGCCCCAGACATTTATGTTACTCTTTTGAAGCAAAATGTAACAGAAATCAATTAAAACAGATTTCGCTGAAGTCTAGGGAAATAATTGCAGCAGATAAAAAAAAGGAGAAAGTAACGAAACTGAAACAGTTTTACGACTCGCCAAAGTTTCTCGAGCAAAATCAGAAACACAAATCCTTCATGCTTCCTTTTTTTTTTTAAATTTTAAAGCCTTGAAGTTCCATTTAATCATGGATGTGCTGCACAGTTCCTGCACAGATGCAGGAAGCGAGTTGGATTCGTTTTATCGCCAATATAACGTCACAGCACGCAGCGGGTGGACGGAGTCGGAGCCACATTCCTTTTAAACAAACACAAACAATCATTATTATGCATCGTTTTAGGATCCCTGCACGTGCGACCCACGCGCGCGTTTTATGCACTCGGAACGGTCGACGAGAGATCGATTTCACCGCCGCGTCTCCACCGAGCCGCCGCGCTGTTATTGCATTCCACGTGGCGCGGTCCGGACTGATGCGATCTACAGCGGCGGGGCACCGACGCAATAATGTGTACACATTAATATGCTCCCCGCCAACTTGTTTGGGCACTTCTCCATGCTTTATGAGTTTGATTAAACACTTCCAACACTGCCACCATCATCTGGCCACTCTGATGTAATTAGTTTCTCGCAATTCTCTTGTCTTGAGTGTGTGTGTGTGTGTGTGTGTGTGTGTGTTTAAAAAAAAAAAAAAAAACAGACGCTGCAACAATACTACCCCCCACCCACCACCCTCCAAATCCTCTTTTCTTCATCATGTAATTTGCTTTTCATTATATTGTTAGAGCTGACAAAAAGGTCTGTGTGTGGGGGGGGGAGTGCGAGATATCTTTACTGTTTAATCATTCATAGGTCGGGGTGCGCTCGGCAGCAAAGGGGAGGTTTGCACACACTTGATTAATTGCAGGGCATGCAATTTGCAAGGCCAATTCAAGATGCTACAATTGAAATCCTGAATTTACTACATGGAGCCATGGCCACGGAAATGTGCTTGGAGGGAAGATAAAGAGCAGCAATGAGACTGAAAAGCTTAATGGCAGACCGCAGAGAGAAGGAACTATTCTTGTTCTGTTGCTCCCTCGCTCTCCCTCCCTCTCTCGGCAGTAATTGCAGGTGACAGCTGGCACTTCTTCCATTGAGAGAAATCGGCAAAAAAACAGGGAGAAGTCATTATGCTCACAAAGCCAAAGCACTCACATGAACAATGCATGAGTTTATCGCATTCTCAAGTTTGGAGGGGATTTAAAGTAGAGGATGGGATTATATGCAAAATGGGTAAAAACACAACATGAATAAGATGTGTTGTGTTGTGGTGTGTGTGTGTTTTTCTTTTTGCAGCAAAGTCAAAAGCCTCATTACAAAACAACCATTCGTGTCAATCCAATTACACCGGTGAATAATAAATTTAATGCCACAGCTTGCATTAAAGTGGATAATAGCAGCTCATTGAATATTTTTCTGCAGTCTTAAAGAGGGATATTATGTTTTTCCTTGTTTTCCATGGTATACGGTAACTTTAGGTACACCTTGCTAGGACAGGGTTAGACATTTGGTGAACATTCAACAAGGTGCTGGAAACACTCCTCAGAGATTTTGGTCCACGTTGACATGAAAGCGTCGCACAGTTGCTGCAAATCTGTGATGTCACTCTCACGTTTCAAGGCATCCCAAAGGTGCTCTGTTGGAGGGAGAGCTGGCGACTGTGAGTGCAGTGAACTCATTGTCATGTTGGGGAATCCAGATGGAGATGGTTAGGCTTTACCTGCTGGAAGTATCCGTCAGAAGATCGGCACCTAAACCATTGATACAAGACAGAATGGATCCATGCTTTTGTGTTTATTTATTTATCTCGCATTGTTATTAATCAAAAGCAGATAGAGCGTCTTTCCCGCCTTCTATTGTTCAAGTTTGGTGAGCCCGTGTAAACTGTAGCCTCAGTTTTCTGTTCTTAGTTGACATTAGTGTCACCCATTGTGTGGTCTTCTGCTGCTGTAGCCATCTGCTTAAAGGCTCAGAGATGCTCTTCTGCATACCTTGGTTGTAACAAGCGGCTGTTTCATTGACTGCTCGGTTTAAATCAGTCTGATTTTTCTTCTGACCTCCGGCATCAACGAGGCATTTTCTCCCATGGATCCGCAGCTCACTAGACATTTTCTCTTTTTCAGAACATTCTCTGTAAACTCCAGAGATGGTTTCGTGCTCAGACCAGTCCGTTTGGCACCAACAACGACCACGCCACCTTCAAAGTCACTCAAATCACCTCCTTCTAAAGTTGAGTTTGAACTTCAGAAGGTCGGCTTAAACACGTCTGCATGCCTAAACGTCCTGAGTTGCTGCCATGTGATCGGCTTAATATTAGTGTTGCATCAACAAGCAGCTGAACAGATGCACTTAATAAAGCCAGTGAGTCTATATACACATAAACAGTGGTGGATATTCATATTAACACATGGCTGAAGCGTCAGATGATGTAAATCAGTGTATTTACATGTAATCTTTGTGGACTGAAAGCTTTGTGCTGCTGTAAATGTGCAGTTTTAGACTGTTGTTTTTCTACTTGCGTGTCCATGTGAAATACATAGGCCCATAGCTCTAGCTGTGAGCACCTCCATACTCTTCAAGCCTTCTGTTTCAGAGGGGCAGCCAATCAGAAGAACATTAAATAAAGGGTATGAACTGCACCAAGCTCAAGCCCCAGTATAAGATTAGCCCACTAAAGTGCTTGTTATTGCTAATAAAAGTTGATATCCACAACTTTAAACAAAAAGAAAAACACAGTTAAACTGAACAAATAAATACTTTATCAACTATTTTCCTGTTAGTGCTTAAATGGGGAGTTGCAGTCAGTTCAGTTGAGAGTGAGCCCCAAACACGAGAAGCCTTCAAGTCCTCGGCGCCACAACATAACCAATAACCGCCTCTGCCCGATTCTGACACTGCCAAGACTCACCCGTCCCCAACTTCCAGCCCCATAAATCACTCCTTTTGTGTTTCTCACCGCAATCTCTTTTATATTCCCCTAACCATTTGTATTGGAGCAGATTACCTCACTACACAATCATATCTGCTGACAATGGGAGCTGTTGACATGACGGGGCGGGGGTGGGGGGGTGGGGGTGGGGGGAAGAAACCCTTTAACCAAATGAATAAAGAGGAAGAGCATTCAGTCTCCCAGCAGGTGTGCCCTTGCAGACAATGTGCTCCCTTGTACATCCGCATTCACACACTTATCCTTCTATTCCTGCTCTGCGTCCCCACTAAAGAGGGACGTCCGAGATTGACAGTGACTAATGGGGGGCTGGTACTGCAGCAAATTACAAGAAGAGCCCGCACCTCGCAAAGGTGAAACACTGCTCGCTCTCCTCCTCTCTCCTCCTTCCTCTCACACAGGAAAGGATGAGCTGCACTCTTTAGTTTTCAGCTACGGTTAGTTCCCCACAACGGCTGCTGTCACATATGATGCAACGGCACGACGTCTACGTACGCTAGGAGTTTGTGCGCGCGTGTGAGCGCAAGCACACTTTAGGTCAGAACACGCTTTTTACAAGTTGAGAAAATAATCAATGAAGTACCTGGAAAACTGCTGTTTACTGAAATTGGTTTTGACTTGTTTAAATTACGTCTGCTTATTGGTTTTGACTTCTGAAATTATGTTTATGAGGAGCAAAATAACATAGACATACACTTAATAAGCTAACGGCAATCTGTCGTCTCTGTAATTGTTATGCGATTGCATTTAATACGTGGCTAATGAAAGCACATGATTAGCACGCGGTGGAATGAAGGAAAAACAAATCATGGGTGTCACTTTGGCTTTCTGGTGCCAATCAGGGCGATCAGGTGAAACTGATGGCGCTAACTGAAGCCAGCACACAAACGGATTCACGGCTTCCCGCCTGCAGACGTGCTGTTCTTTCAAAGTGCGACGCTGAGACTGAAAAATATATACCTGGACTCAGATATTGACATTTTCTTTTCCAGTTACAGAAACTGACTGATTGGATCCAAACACTCAAACCTCCTCCACCGCACCAATCGCAGCCTGACTTTTGTCCTCTGGGCGTGCTTTTGGTACACCCACGTGTGCCGTCGGGGAGATAGAGATGATCATCGGACGTGCACTTTACTGACACGACGCTACATCATCCTGGACGCCGCCGTTCACATCTTTCAACGCTCATATTCTGCCGTCAGTTTCGATTTCTCTCCCAACATTTTAAACCCCGTAACTATTGACTCCATCAAGATGGATGAGTCTTCCATCCAGGTTTTAAATGAGCTCACTCTATCACATATGCCATTAACTGATTTTGAAAGCTAACATGTATTTTGCGCAATCCTACCTTGATCCTCCCATGCAACCCTACTAGCATAACCCTTCAATCCATCAATATGACAGACTGAGGCCATTACCTGGGCAATGAGTCCTTTGCGGCTCCTTCGGGCGTGGTGGAAGCGCTTAATAAAGAGCGCCAGGAACTGCTGTCTGATCAGCTTCCATCCGGTGATGACCGCGGATCCCCTCCCGCTGTCACTGGGGCTCTTCCTTATGTCTGGAATAGACGTTCACCTTCAGCATTATTTATCATCTATGCCTATGTAAAAGATCTGCTGAGAATGCTTTTCAGCACCACTAATGGGCTGATCAAATATAACTTAAGTGTTAAACTGGCCAGCAGCACTAGCTCATTCCTCAAAGTGGCAATTTTACTCATTTCATGTATCTGGGCCTGACTCAAAAGGAAAACACTGACAAACACAGGCCGTGGACACCTTTTGTTTGATATATTTTCATTATTAAGAAGCACTTTTCTTTTCTTTACAGGATTCACTGTGAAAATTTACAAAAAAGCTTGAATCAAAGGCCAGTTTTGTGATGCAAGGCACACATTTAAGGGGTGAAAGACAGGTGAGATAATGTGTAGTGAAAGGGAAGCCTGCTTGAAAGTGAGTTTTTCTTGGTATTATGCTGTCTCACCTGAGGGGAAACAATCAAACTGAAGCCAAACGAAATCAAATTAATAACTGAGGAACAAAGGATGTGGTGTGAAAAAAATAACAGTTGTAAAGATCAAACCATTGAGGACAAAACAGAGTATTTACCTTCAACTTTACTTGTGAACTTTTCTAGATGAGAAACAAAAAAAAAAAGACCAAGATTTAAACAGGAAGTGCAGTTCATTTAATGAGCTTTTAAAACTCATAAATTTAAAATATTGCTAATAAATCTATGTTTGCCTAATTTAAAAAAAAAAAATCTGTGATAAATTTGAAGGACTTGCCACTCTTCCCGGTGGTTTGCTCAGTTTTTGAGTGGACGCTGGCAATGCTGTTCCTCTTGGCTTCGCGGGACCTTCTTTTGCTGTCTCTCACAAACAGCTCCTTTGTCGCTGTGGGAATACAAATAAGATATGTTGTTATGGCCTGACCCAATTTAGGGTTATAAATAACAATAAGAACAGCAACCTGTACTGCAAGACGCCATATTATTCCCTGCAAAAGCACAAACCCAGGTGTTTCAGGAACACGAGGAAATCCGATTTTTTGAGATTAGGCCGATAAGTGAGGTTGCTCGGCAATGGCTGCAAACAAAAACTGTGAAAAGATGGGAACGGGAGATTTACCCATTGAGGTCAATCAGTGACACATGAAAGCAGAGCTGGAAAGCGCCGTGTCTTTTTTATTTCAGTCGTCCTTCTCTACTGCAGCAGACGAACCCAAACCAAGGAAAATAACTTCTACCTACATCTGAGTCATCTTTTGCAAGTACTGCTATAAAAGTGACTCGTGGCCTGAGAAGCCAGTGAACGTGCGCTTAGTTCATCGTCATTAATGCAGTCGTGCTGATTTCTGAGACCTTTACACGCAGTAATTAAATCCTGCTTTAGGCTGCTTTGTTGGTTTTAGTTCATTTTGATTAATGCATCTAGAGGATGGACACCAAAATCAAATGGCCTTTTTGGAGCCAGGATCTGCTTCAAATGCCAGGTTCTGATTGGCAAACTGCTTTTACAGCTACCTAAATGGGTCTACGTAATTCAACCAAATGGCTAGTTATTAAGCAGCATCGCTAATAAAAGCTGAAGGCAATGCAGACGTGCCTTATGTGGCAACCATATTCTGCATTTGTATAAGTAAAGCTTGCTGCTTTATATTTGATGAGTTTATTTATTTTCCTGCTGAGTCAGTGTCAAAAACTTCCTTTAGCGATGGCATAAAAATTGTTGTGTCATCAAAAGATGTTAAAAGCTTGAAGTGGAATTACTCTGCAAACGGCTGATTTGTTTATAACATTCAGGGGTCGTTCTCATCTCCAGGCAGTCCTGCCAGTCCTGTTACATGTTGCTGGTGTAAATGATACCCCTGGGTGTCGGGGCCTTGACTCCAAGGGTCGTCTTTAAAGTCCACATTTGGAAGTTGAAGATTTGGCTGAGAGCTTTGACATCAAGGAGACTGAGGGTTGTGTCCTTGTTTGGAGTTTGTATACGGCTTCATTTCATTCTCAAATGCTTTTTACCCCATTAGCCATAAAAGGTCGATGGGGTATTGTCGTCGCCTCCCACTGCAGTGGAGTGGAAATCCAAGTTTGTGAAGTCGACGTAGGATTTTCAAATTCATACCACACGGACATCCACAAAAAACTCTCATATAGGTTTGAATCTTAGTGACCTCGACCTCACGTAGAAGGTAGAAGGGCAAGTTTTCTCTAAATCTTGTGAATGCGATAACTCAATGAGGTGACCTAGGTTGTTCACATCCATACCACAGGTCAAACTACCAGGAGGCTAAAAGGTAGCAGTTGCAGTATTTTTACTCCTCCTTTCACTCACTGGTTGCTTTGCAAGCATCCATACGTGCCAAGTTGGTAGTAAGCTCCATCTCACTATTGCCACAATCTAGTTTGGTATCACAGTCACACCAAAAAACACCCTGTGGGTGTCTGTGAGATGCCACTAGTTTTCAAACAGCAGCCATATTTGATGTATTTGGGGCAAGGTGGGTGTACGCATTAACCACAGCCTCACTTCAGGCAACCTGTTTGCAAATCTCATATGAGGCCATTAAAGTTGGGCCTAGAAAGACTGCAGAGCTGCTGCTGCTGCTTCTGCAAGCTGCTTTGCAACCCACTCAGCTCCTCCGTTTCATACTATTCACGCCATTTCCAAAAAGCAATCCCATACACACTGAATGTGACACTTGTGCTCTCCACACCTTCAGGCCTTCCACATTCATGTAGACGAGTGGAGAGGCCCTGAGCAAAGCCACTCTACTAAATATATATCACTACAGATGGAATAACAATCAAGCGCCCCTCACAGAAATGTATTTTGTTTATTTGACAGAAATTTTCTAACCCATTAACACTGACAATCATACATTTATAGTTTGTTGATGTGTCTACATCATAATGATAGCACAGTGTGGTGTTTATTGGTCCACTTACGTTGTATATCTGCATCCACTCCGGTGTCTTCCGCCACTTTAAGGAATATCTGTAAAGAACAGAACATATTAGGCACATTATCTATATACTGCAGTTGTGGAGCATTAACTGAGCGACTGTGTGGCTATTTATTTTCTAATAAACAAATCAAAAATATGCTTAACAAATAAACCTCTACATATGTTGGAGTGCTCGCTCTAAGGTTTCTGTTCAGAATCACATCACAGATGTGCATCCACAGATCACAACCTTTACTTGAACACCTGCCGAGTGGAGTTTCTGAGCGAAGCGCCCTCCTTGACTTTATTTATGAATCCAGGTTACACAGCGAAATAAATAACTCTCCCTATTTGTGAGCATTTTTGGGTGTACGAGTTAGGCTACGTTTCATCATTTGACCTCTCAAAAGGCACGCTGCTGGGAGACTGAATGTTATTTGATGTGTTGCATTATTTTATTCAGGGGGTGCCAAATACAAGCTCTGACATCATAAAGCAGTATGAAAAGCTATATTATTTTTATGCGTTACTTTATTAACGCCAATGCCTTGTCAGTTCCTGTTTTATTTTCACACGTAGCGAATAACTGCGTGTTTCAGAGCGTTTGGACTTCAAAAGAAAACATGGATGGATGAAATAACCATGGTGTGGCTGAATTGTGGGAATTCAAAAGGAATTATTCACATCGCCCGCAGGCCGTGAGTGTTTAATGCATGTCGGCCTTACATGAAGAGCATTAGGGAAGAGTCACTCGGCTTTATGATCCAAGACGGGCCTGCGTGGCAAACATGCTGCTTGAGTCATTTGTTTATGGGTCAGTGCTTCTGGGGAACATTGATTTGCAATCTACAACATGACGCTTACATATTAGTTCAAAGAGAAAGTCTTTTATTTTTTTTTTCTTATATCATGATGGTGAGTCATGGTTTTGAAAAAAGTGTATGACGTGAAAACGAGGAAGGGAGCAGGACAATATGTGAGGAAAATCTAAAGGCGATCAAACCGCGCTGGAGAATTTTAGAAAGCAGACCAGTGCTGGTCTGGTTAAAACCACATTGAGCACGTTCATCCAAAATTTATCAATCACTACGAATTTGTTTGCTCTAAAATTAGATATGGTTTTCATCATTAACGGCGTCTTAGTAGAAGAAAGAGAAATCACTAACAGGATCTGAAGGAAAGAGTGAATAATAGACCCTCAGCTCAGGTTATTGGCTAAAACGTAAAAAGGTTGGTTTATTATAGTGTTTACTTGTTTTGGGTGAGATTTACAAAAAGTCTGCAAATCATTTTTTTTCCATTATCACTGAGAAGAAAAAGACAAAAAAAGTTCTACTACGGTACTGTGCAGAAGTCTTGAGCCACCACTCTTTTCTTTATATTTTGCTTTCAAGGTTTAAAGTTCCTCTTTGAACACCGGCTGCTATTTCGCTCACTTTCCGTCCTGTCCTTGTACCTGAACATTTTCAGAGGAATGTTTGGTTTCTTGATGCTCTTGACACTGACCTATGAATCATTCAGGCATAACTCAATGGATGAGCCAGTGCTGTTTCTTTTTTCTGTCACAAAAACATCATTTGCAAAAATTTATTTAGTGCAATCTATGAGAAAATACTAAAGATAACACAGTTTGATGGGGAAACCGTATGTCCTCAAAAACAGAGGACAAAAGAAGCCTTACAAAGTCCATCCATCCATAGGCTGGAGCCTATCCCAGCTATTTTAGCGCGAGAGGCAAGGTACAGCCTGGACAGGTAGCCAGTCTGTCGCAGGGCTCCTAATAAAAACAAATTCTTAAAAAACTGGCCTCTGACCCTTCAGTTGATCCATCTGAAGCCTCATCAGAAATGGTCTAAGTGGGAGAGTGGATGTTAAGAAGGGAAACGAGAAGAAAAGGCTCAAATATGCTAAATTACAATCAGTCTGACGGAGTGATGAATCCAAAATCTGTACATCGAGGTCAGGCGAGACAACAGTGAGTGACTACACCCGTCTGTAAAACACGGTGGAGGCTCTGTCGTGGTTTGGGGCTGAATTTCAGCCGGTACTTTTCTGAAGACATGACAATAAAAGCTTGAAATTCTAACAAGCTAGAAAGGTGTGACCACACAGTCTGAACTCTTAGTCAAACTGGTTTTGCTGTTTTTCAGTGCCTGTACCTTCCTAGCAAAATAAAGTCATCATATTTCCAATTTGCTATGAAATTAGTAAGGAGATTTTAAATAGAAAAATATGATGCAAAGTGAATTTATAAAAATGACACATATGCACAAGGCCGTCAGTCCCATGTTTAGATTACCTCCTCCAGGGTGGTGTCCGAGATGCCATAGCTGGTGAGGCCAAGGTCGGCCATGGCTCGGTCGAGCTCTCGGAAGAGCGTGCCAAAGGTCCCATCTTTAGCTCCTCCGTAGGGCAGGATGTAGGTGATCTCCTGACCGATGCTTTCCAGGAAGATTGCCTCAGGGACGTGTCTTTGCACAAGCTGACCCACTGCTGACAAATTTGCTGGATGGAAAGTCACAAAAATTATGCCAAAACAACTTCTAAAGACGGGGAAAGAGCTGAAGCTGAACCGCCGGCACTGAGGGCTGCGGAGACGTATAATATTTAAACAACAGCATCTTTCAAACTCAGCGTTCGCACAGAGAAACTTCACCAGTGAAATCCTTTAAAAACCGCCGTGCAACATATTGCAATCACAACACACCTGATGAGGTGACATTTAAAAGCACTGTAGCAGATCAGTGGACCTTATTCTCCCATCTCATCCATTCTGAACCCATCTCTATAGTGAGAATCTATGCAGACAGTGTTGCAGAATGCACCACATCCATTATTGATCCAAAGCCTCTCATATATAATTACTGCAGCTCAACAACCACTGGTCCTTTATGAAGAAGTAAATGGCTCTGGCTCACACCAGTAGAAAATATTTAAGAAATTGTAAGTATGTTTTGCTCTTCTTGCCTGTGTCTGTCAATAAAGAGAAATGAGCTGTCACTTGAGGAAATGTGATTTTATTTCATGGGATTTTCTGACTTATATCAGCAGTCTTAAATATAATCCTTTTAAAGGAAGCAGCAGGTTTGATTCTGATTTTATTTCCATGCATAATAACCTGGAGCCTGCTCTAGAGTTTGCTTCTGATCATGACTTGCATTGGGCACCTTTTGTTTACGCGATCAAGGCCCGAGAATGATCAAAACAAATCAAATAACCAGCAGAAGATTTGGTTGGGCACTAATCCGCTCTATTTCTGCAGTTTCTCAACATTTCTATATTTAACATAGTCAAAACTTGTGTCAAGCAAATGATAGAATATCATGTATAAAGCAGAACATTATAAGAAAAATAGCAGCTGGAGAAAAGGAACTACACGTGGAGCACGTTCCCCGACCCGGCTCAAGAAAATGCTACATCAAAACAGAAACCCTGTCCAATTTTAATTTGCCCATTTTTCCCTTCAACATCATCTTCTTGTACATCTCTGTGCTGATTTCAGTGCCGCTGCTATTTATAGGTCCCAACCTAAAAATCCCATTATGTCCTCTTGTGTTCTTGTGCGCATGCCACACTTCTTCGGGGAAGACGAAAAAATGATAGAGGGGCAATTTGGTGAGTAGGTTGTGCCGTGAGCAATGATTGTGTTGCCAAATATCCGTGCCCTCACGCAGTGGAGCTGTTGTTTGATGAGACCAGATCATTGCCACCAAACGAGACGCCCGAGAAGTGTCAGGACGTTACAGTGGAACTACAGCGACAACCTGACGCCGCGGGGTTGACTGTTTCGTGTCAAACGGGCAAATATAGATATAAAGTAACAAGAAAATACAAACAGAAAATAAAGCAGTAAAAAAGTCACATCGCCAGGAAAAACTCCATATACCGCCCACTGTAAATCTGGGGTGTCAAACATAAGGTCCGGGGGCCAGAATCAGCCCAAAAAAGACTCTAAACGAGCTCACTGTACATCTTTAGATAATACGAAGGAGTTTATAGATTTTTAACTTTTAAATGTATTTTCATAAGTTTCACAGCTTTTCTTATTGATAAAGCCCGAACTGCCATTCATACTACACCTAAACTAATGATAAATAATAATAATAATGGATTAAATTATATAAATATTCCTGTTTTCCCGCCATCAGTTACACAACTATCTGGTTTCTTTTTTATGTTTGTAGTTTTTTTACAGTGAGTCCACAGGAAAAAAAATGACATTTTCTGTGAATTAATGAAAACGTTATATTTTACTATTACAGAACAGTCTGGGTAATAAACTAGCAGAGCAAATATAAATGTATAACTGAAACCGAGGTACACAAAGCCTGTGAAAGTCAAAATCCTGAATCGAACATGCTCCTCGTCACTATCGCAGCACAACGCATCACCTTCACCTCTTCTTCTGTTTGTCGTCTGGGCCTCAGACTCGGCCTGGTCAGATGAGATTGACACCAAAGCAGATTTTTCCTCTTCGCTTAAATTTAAGCTCAGTAGATCCTCGTGTGCAAACAGAATGGGACTTTCAGGGAGTGAGGAGAATGGGCAAAAATCAAATCGAGTGCTTCTTTAAAACTGAGTTGTGAAACTTCTTAATCGCTGCTTGCAGATTAAAACTGAAAAGATCTTAAACACGCAGTAAGTGAAGTGAAGAGTGGATCTAAGAGCTAAACAGGCAAGTTGGCCCCGCTGCCACTGAACGCTCCGGCTTAACGCTTTACGAGAACAGGTGAGTAATGTGTCACTGGCTGTTGACAATCAGCACTGCTTTGGAGTTCAGCTAACAAGACGCACAACTCGCTACCGCTGCAAGAGATCAAGATCAGCGTTAAATCACCAGAAACCTCTCACACCATGCAAGACGTTTTAGTCAAAGTACACTTCAGCGTTTCAAAGATTTCTAATCTCTCTTATCCTAAAAATCCTACTATCGCCACATGAATTCATCACTTTATTTGTGCCCTCTAGCAGCACATCTCAAAACCATCTTGAGGGGAGATACTTTAATGTTTTATCTGTTAGTTTGGTAACGACGAGTTGATTTTATTTGCTCCTGGTTCAGAAAGGATGAACTGGCGTGCGCTCCAATAAACCGCACATTGAAAATTGTGTGTGTTTTTAAAAACTATATAAAGGAACTATATAAAAATGTTCATGCAACATCTGTTTTACAAGGTAATAATCATAATACATGACAGACAGTAAACGGAGATAGTTGGTACCTGATGGATCAGAGTTGCTCCAGCTTTGGCTGCCAAATCCTTCATCTGGGCTGCTGCTCAAAGGACAGTCTGTCTCCTGTTAATCAGAATTGGATTAGAAAGGCCTTATCAGGCCTTACCTCTTAGAATGATGAACAGTGCCTCGCTGACAACTCCTGTCTTGCATTAATCAAATGACGGGCATCCACAAGTTTCTATTTAATTGCTCTAAATAAAGCCGCATGCATGCGTCAACAGATAATGCTGTCAGCCTGTAATGGAATATGAAGCCACCGTCGTTCAGCCAAAGACATGCGCACAAAAAAAGGTTAAACATTTTTAAAAGGCTGCTTCTCTTTATGGAGTTCAATCACAAGGAAATGAGATCGGGGCAATTAAACTTTTTTTTTTTTTAGCAGTTAAAGGTGTGTAATTGCAAACTCTCCCTATTAATTACCAAATTGACATCCAGGGGACAAGGAGGAGGGCTGAATCGCTACCTCGCCCACGAAGGTGTTTCCACGTTTGTTTCTTTCTCTTAAACAAATGGCTTCGCTCACCTCGAAGACTCGGCAGACAAATGGTAATCGCTCTCGCCCTGCTGGCACCGGTGCATCTTGTTCATTTGCTCCAATTGATTAAAACTAAGCGTGCGAGGCACCATTGGCGAGCGAACGCGAGAAGCACCCCTCTCCCCCGCGACAATTAGTATCATCCAGCACGTAGGCGCATGCCAATTCTCATGCTGGGGCAGACTAAATACAGATCATTATGGGGGGGGAGGGTGGTAAAAGGAGAAAGAGAGCACTCTGGAAAGTCAGAGGCTGGTCAATAACAGATGAGAAAGAGGTTACTGCTGTGCCAAAGTGCTTGCTGCTGAAAATCCTTATTTTGCAGGATTTAACATTAAATTAAATAATAAGATTGTAAAGATCTAAAGTCCTCTAAGGCCTTAAAAAAGTGGCCTCACTCACCGTGTGAGCAGATTATCACAATTATCAATCAAAACACTGCTAAAGTAAGTTTCCTCTGAGTAAGTTTGAAGACCTAAAGCGCGCTTACTTTCTTCCCCCCTTTGGCCTGACCGATGATGCCGTTACGCTGAGCTGTCATCTTTCCGCTCCCGTCTCTGACCAGAGTGAGGTAGTAGCCGCTGCCGAAGCATTTCTTCAGGAAGATGGAGGAGCCGCAGCAACGCATCTTGCCGTGGGAGATGATGGCAATGCGATCACCTAAGATGTCTGCCTCGTCCATGTGGTGCGTGGACAGAATGATGGTGCGGCCTGCAGGGGGAACAGAGAGAGGCTGGGACTAGGGGTGGGTTTTAATAATCGATTCATCGATTAAAATCGATTCTGGCTTGGATAACGTGATATCGATTCATTAAAATCTTGAATCGATTTTTTTATATAAATGTATTTTGCCCGAAATTCCAGAATCTCAGGTGAAACGTCACAAAATTTCGACAACCACCAAACATTTAAAACAGTAAATGAGAGCAGCTTCTGCACAAAGACGTAAACACAAACACATTATTGACCGAACCAGCAGCAAAAGAAGATCCAAACTAAGCTTCACATAAACATCGTCATGAATTCACTCTGACTTTTACTGTTTTGCTTCCACCATGATAAAATCACACTTCATGCACAGCTCTCTCTCTCTCTGTACTTCAAGAACAGTTTCCTGTTTATCCCCAAAATCTGTTTTCTGCATTATTCACTTGCTTGTTACGCACAAGTCTGTCGTTGTTTACAGGCTGTCGGCCGCTGTTTTTTTTTTTCCTTTTACTTACTTCCGAAAAGAAAACCTAATTTCTGCCGTTCAATAGGCTTCTGAACAAATTTAAACTTTTTAAAATGATGCAAAATGCAAAACGCTGTGTCTCTAATAAAACCGCTGTAACTTCAGAGGTAATGTTCATATGTTGATTAATGTTTTTTTTTTGTTTTTGATGTACTGCAGAATATTTTTATAAATTCCCAGGCCAGGAAAATCACCTTCATGTTTTTCTGTGTTTTATCTTCAGCTACTGTGACACAAAGGCACCTGCTGTGGTGTGATTACACATTTGACAAAGTCTTGCGAGTGTCAGCTTCCTTTTTATAGATACAAAAATATGTAAATGTACTGATCTGAATTATAATATAGGCAAAATTTCCCCGATTCAAATCGAATTGAATCGAATGGTGGATCGAATCGATTCTAGAAATCAGTGACGATACCCAGCCCTAGCTGGGACGGCGTCGCCTGAATGGGACGAGCAACGTCGTGCACGCTCGTGTGTGAAGATGATGTGCAGAAAACAAGTCAAAGCTTTCTTTTTAATTAAAGAAAAAGCTGTTTGAACCATTTCTTTTCAATTTGGACCTTGTTTGTTTCAACAACTGTCATCATTAAGCGTAAGCAGCACAAGAAAGGATTCCACGGATCAAAACTGTTCAAATCAAGCCAACATCCCAATCTGCGTGGTAGTCACTTATCTCCGGATTGTTGATCCCACTGTGTTTTTTTCTTCTTCTCTTTTTTTACTCTTGCTTATCCGCATGGCAACAAAGCAAACTCCAGAAGAGTGCGTGGGCGTGAATCTGGGACAAAATTAAAATGATGATAAAGGCCACCCTAAGCCTACTTTCGAGCGTTTCTATGAGACCACATTTTATTCCAGCTCTCCCTTTTGTTCTGCGAGTCCTTTGATTCGAGAGGCGTCAAACTGAGCCCAATTGCACTGACAACTAAAGCATGCATTGCAAGATTATTCACAGGTGTTCTTATCCTTTCACATCATGCTGTATCAGATAACACATATTAATTATCACGTACCCCGGTAATCAGAAGAAAAGGGCTAGATCTATAATGAAGTCACAGCGTGGTCGTGTCTCTGCAGTCTGTATGAAAGCGGTATCACAGGGTAACTTTTGATCCTGCCATGTTTTAAAGCTGAAAAAAAAAACATTTAACCTGACACGTGTAATATTGTTATGAAAGAAACCTGCTTAAAAGTGAGCTGCCAGAGTGGTGTGTCTTAATTTCTTTGAACTTCTGAGGCCAAAAGACTCAATAAATGATACTTAATAACAGATTTGTTGCCACGCTAGTGGAAAAGCGCCGTGGATGGCACCGTATCGACTGGTGGATCAATCAAAATTGTCTATCAGGATCAAATAATGGTATAACCATTGAACCCACTGATGTGACATTCAGTGCTGGAGAACGATTCCTACTGGTTGTTATAATCTCTCAACCTTTCCTATAGTACTGATGGCTGGTTTACAGTTATTGAATGAATTCTGACAAAGCTTTGTAGGCGTGTAGAGCGGGGTCATGTTAACAATCGGTCAACTTGTGATTTATTGGTCAAAAAGTGCCAAAAAGCCTTATAATTTAGAAACTAAGATTCTTACAAGTGTGCTGTGCATTGTCAACACATATTAAATCTTCATACGATACTTTTTATAAGTCACATTTGACCTCTGACCTCTCCTTCAAGGTCAACAGAACAAATCTGAAGGTCTAAGTGATAATAATGCCATATAAAGATGCTTAAAATGACAAAAGGTTTTCCGAGTTGCAAGAACATGTTGGCACGGCAACCTTTTTGTCTATAGATGACTAATTGTATAGGGTCTTTATTATGACATCACAATAACAGGTTATAATCGTTTACATACATAATAATTTGAATACATCCACTTTGTTCCTAAGTAAATAACTTTTTATTGAAATCTATTATGAAATTAATTTTACTGAACAGTAAAGTGAATGCTACTATATGAGAAGTGCATAATGCATCATGGGATTGCAGCCCTAACTATGAGCTTTAATAAAAGGAACATTTTAAGCCCAATCCCAGAAATGTTAGAGGTGTATCTGCCTGGGAACTCCAGTAAGCCTTCACTCTGAGAATGAAGTGCTCTATAAGCGCTCTATGGTACTATGAAGCCATTAAAATACAGTAACACCTGAACATTTAGGTTTTTGTGAGGGTGTTAGATGAGAGAAACAAAGAGAAGCCAGTTTGGAAGAAACATCTAGTACATAGCACGTCACCTCTTTGCTGAATTTCTGAGCGTTTCGTGGAAAAGGTCAGGCGCCTCTGCTGAGCAGGGCTGTTTTTACACTGAGCTTGTTAAATGTGCGTCTGTATCCTGCACAGGTCACACCATCCCAAAAAACAAGGACACATTCAGAGGTCATCTACCGCAGCCCAAGGTGGGCATTTTTGCTTGGCCAACTATTACCCCACCTTTTCATCCTCCACCCCCTCCGCCCACTCTGAGCACTGCCACCAGCTGAGCTGCTAAATCCATCCCTTCTCAGTTAAGTATTGCTGCTTTATCCTATGCCAAGCAAGTCTGGATCTCACTCTATATAAACTCCAGCAAAATGCCCGAGTTGAATCAAAGCCCGCAACCCAGTCAATTTAACATACGCAGGAAGAAAGCTACGCTTATGAAGGGGGAGGGCTGAGGAGATTTGAGGTTTACTTTGACTGCGCCAGCTCATTTTGTTTGGGATGCTCAAACTTTCAGATGATTTTCCTGGGGATTTGTTGTGGTTTATAAGGGGAGAGGGAAAAAAAAAATCAAAAAGCACTGCATCATCTGTGAGTTGGGAGAAAAATAAATGTGTTTGGACTGCAGATGGCCCACATAGGTATTCTGATTTATAGTGTGTTGCGGTGCATTACAGCGCAAAGTGATATATCAAATGGAGTTGGGTGTGCTCAGGTAAATTGCTAGTACTCGCACTGCGCACAGCAAAGTGAGGCTGGAAAATCTGGGTTCTTTTATTTAGCTTCCTTCCCTCTAAATCACGTTGATAGAAATGGATTTCACAGTGGTGGGAAAGGCTGGACAGATATTATGTGCGTCGGCAGTAAGATGAATTACTGGACAAAACCGTATTAACGGCTGTTTGTGGCAATCAATTCAGATCAATAAATTTTGAAATTACCTTCACGCCGTTTACAGCCCGTCCGGGGGAGTTAGAATAACCAGATGACGCTATGTTCACTGTAACACGGCTTAAAAGTTACGCCAGCTGAAAGACTCACGGTGCAGTGATCGTGAGGAGCTTGAACCTCAAGAACAACTAGCATGGCATAAAAACACACAAAAAACAACCAGTGATATGTTTTTATGCTATATGCACTGCACTACTGCCTTCAACCACGCATTATTGTGTGCTCCTGTCAAAAATGCACTGTATACAGTACTAAAATAAACACCACCGCACTCACAGTCAACAATAAAGGGGGCTGCTGCAAGCATACTTGACATTTGTCAATAAACACATATACAATAGAAGAAAATTAGACTGCAGACTGACAGGTAAATTATTTTTACACGCTCCTAATAATTATTCATTATTTATTTTCACTTTAGCGGCGCGCCATTTTTCTCACATGCCTTGTCAAAATCTATACATCAGTCTCTCTCTCATGTTACAGAAGTGTGAAAATATTCGCTCTCGGTCTTCTGAAACGCTGAATGCACATCGCTTCTCACAGTTCTTGCTGTCAGGGAAGGATTAAAGGTAACGCTGTGATGTACTGCTCGTGGCATTTTTGGCATTTCATTCTGATTAAACTCTCATTAATGACTTACTTGTATTGTCCATATTTACTACTTTTGCATTACTGCTCATATCACCTGGTAAAAAAAATATGTAAAAATGTGAAATCCTTGGATATATTAGATACATATTATAAAATATATAGTAGCTGTTATTAGGTACAGCTTCCTAGTACCAGGCTGGAACTCTTTTTTGCCTTCAGACCTGCCTTAATTATTCATGGGGAACATTCAACAAGGTGCTGGAAACATTCCTCAGAGATTTTTGTCACAACACAGTTGCTGCACATCTATGATTCCAGCCCATCCAAAAGGTGCTCTTGGATCGAGATCTGGATATTGTGGAGGTCATTTGAGTAAAAAGAACTCATCATCATGTTCAAGAAACTAGTTTGAGATGATCTGAGCTTTGTGATAAAGGGACGGACTTACTCAATACTCAGGTACTGGCTGTGGTACTGAAACAATGCTATTAGGCACTAAGGGACCCAAAGTGTGCCATAAAACTATCCGGTCTTTAAGTGATGACGTGATGAATCCTGAATTCCGGGCCCAAACTACTCCACGTTTAATAATGCGTTTGTGTTTTTTACATGTTTTAATGCTTTGTATCTTGTTCTATTTAATCTCAACAAGCCCCTAAAAACAGTCAGTGATCACCGTCGGCCTCTCTCGGTTTTTATTACCGCTAATCAATTCAAAGCTCAGATTTTAGAACCTTACCATGTAACTACAGCCCAGCTCATGCAGCAGTATATTATTGACTAACCTTGTACTATGGATGGATTTTCTCAGCTGTTCTTTTGACTGAAGTTTGGTCCGTTTACAGCATCCTGCCATGCGATTGCATTTGTCCAGAACCTTCGGAAACCCTCAAGTTAACTTTTATTGAGTGGGAAAAAGTTAGCGTTCATCCTCCAGCTTCACAGTTTATATTATGCTAACATAGCTGTGTTGCTAGCGATCACGTAGCACATTGTTATATACGAGCTAGCCAAACTTCAGTAACTCAACTAATGTCACTGCTGTTTACTTTCCTGTCTTTATTTATTTCGGCAATGATAGCAGAGCTGTATGTCTTAATTTGTTTCAGAAATCCCTCAGTCAGAACATGGTATATTATATTTAGATGGAAACTAGCAAGCTAACTCCCTGCTAACGTTAGAATTTCATAAATTCTGTTTTCATGGATGCCTGGATGTTAAACTTAATTGTTACACCTGGTAGAGCAGCAACTCTGATCATTTCATTACAGATGAAAGGATTTAGACAGTTCTTAACTCTCAGTGATGCCACAGTGATCGTGTGACTTAGCGACCTGCAGCGGAGTTTGGGCCCAGGCACGGCTAATGACGTCAGACTTAAAGACCAGATTGATATAAATCAAGATGGATCCATGCTTTCATGTTCTTTACACCAAGTTCCTACCATCTGAATTTTGCAAGAGAATTAGAGAATAATCTAATATAAAAAGTCAAACAGTCTATTGTTGAACCTGTGTAAACTGTAGCCTCAGCTTTGTGCTCTTAGCTGACAGAAGTGGCACCCCGTGTGGTCTTCTGCTGTAATAGCCCATCTGCTTCAAGGTTCAGAGATGCTCTTCTGCTTAGCTTGGCTGTAACAAGTGGTTATCTGTATAACTGTTGCCTTGCCTTCACCTTAAAGCAGTCTGGCCATTCTCCCCTGAACTTTGGCATCAACAAGGCATTTACACCTGGAGAACTTCCACTCGAGCCTATCCCGGCTGTCACGAGGCGAACACAAAATGTATAATATCCATTATATTAATATCATCCTCAAGGCCCATTTTACAGCATAATGACCGGGGTAATTTAATAGTAATCAACTTCCTGTAATGGATAATAATTAAAAATTCATAATTTGCTAATTTTTACTTTAAATCGTCACCTTCTGCAGTAATTTTCAAATGAAATATGACAGAACAGCCATTAAAACCCACCTGAAATGCATAAATCGACCAGCTTGTAATTTTAGCTTTTTGATGAATATCCAGTACTTGACTTAAACATGCACTGAAGGTTTAATTTGAGCTGCAGGAGCACGCACACCACATTCGTGTTCCTCTGCATCTTGACAGGTTTTAACAGTTTTCAGCTGCCGCTAACCAAATAAGCCCCGAGTGAATTTAACACACACAAAAAAAACACCCCCTTGGAGCATCGCGGTCAACCTGTCTCTGTGTGTGTGTGTGTGTGAGGGGGGGGGGACTGCACACTTAATTAGCTGTAAAGAAGCGCAGCATTAAGTCCAGCATCAGCCTAAAGCTTTTTCACACAAATAGACCGCCTGTAGCCTTTTTTGTTGCTTAATGACAAACCTTAGTAACACTGCGGTGCAAATAAGAGTGGAGAGACACAAAAGCATGACTCACTCAACCGGCCCATATGCAGGGGGTTCTCATTATAACGGAGTTATCTCAGGCTCCCAATTGGAGTGAAGACTTGATTAGAGAGAGAGAGAGAAAAGCTAATGGCATAGAGAGGGCAGGATGTCGCTCAATGCACATTAAACATTTAGACATCTGTTGAGAGAATGTGTTACTATAATGTCCATGTCCTGCTTACAGCCACCAGCAACCACAAAGTATATTATGGACACAGAGTGACAAGCTGACTGGTTTGGCAGACAATTACGGACTCTGTTAAATAGCCATGTCAATTAAAGCTTCTTCTTGGATTTACTTGTCTTCGCTCGCGTTCCAATCTGTTTAAGTACGATTCACAATTTCTCCCCGTCCATGATTGAGTGTCACCCACAGCGAGGCTAAAGAAGAATTACATCGCAGGGAACCGGCCGCTTCATTACCTTAACAGCTCTCGCGCTGGACGTGTTTCAGCCTCGTCAGTTTAAAGTTTACTTTGAGCTGGGCTCAGTTTTGGAAACTTTCTCGGTTTGAGACAAATCAAACATGTGCTTTGCGCATTCTGGTCAATTCTACAAACATGAGGGGGCTTCAAAGCTTTTAGTGGAGCCTCGGTTTTTACCTCTGATCTCATACCTTGTTTGTACTTTAACAGCAGTTCCCAGATACCCCTGCGGGCATAGGGGTCCACTCCTGCTGTAGGTTCATCTAAGATGATGATTTTCGAGCCACCCACGAACGCGATGGCCACGGACAGCTTTCTCTGCATGCCACCTGTAAGACAGCACAGCTTAAAAACACATCACGGCCTGAAGGAATGCACAAGCTAGTGTAAGAGCCGTTCAGCTTGTAACGCGTTGCAAATCCTGCCCGAACATCTGTCACAATAAGGTTTCACATGCAAAATGGGCACAATATTGAAGAATGATTACGGAATATACCAAAATCTATCTTTCCATCTTTTAAAGTAATGCCACAAAATGATTGATGGCAGAGAAGTAGATACACCGTCCTAGCATTATTGCAGTCTGTACTCGCTTAGCTCTTCAAAATGCACCCACTGTAGTGCTAATGTAGTGGAAATGTCAGGATAGATCAACCTTGAAAGTCATATTTCAGTGATTTTGCTCACAAGCAATCCATGACTGGGGACAATTTATCAAGTAGGACTTGCTCATGACCCCCAGACAATGAATTACAACCTGTGACACACAGGTACAGTGAATGTGTGGTATAGGAGCAATATATCCTGAATAGACAGGATAAGCTACGCGTAATATTCCTTCCCAGGGGAAACTAATGCACGGAGGACACGTCAACGGCTAAATTGACATGTGCGCACAATAGGATACAGCAACATACATTAACATACAGACTCACCCGACAGGTTCTTGGCAAGTTCTTTCCGTTTGTGTGGCAAACCGACGTCCTTAATCATCTGATCCATCTCAGTTTTAACCTCTTGGCGACTGCGTCCTTTGAGCCGGGCGTAGAAGTAAATGTGCTCTTCCACTGTCAGCCTGGAAAGGTGGACATGACATCACAACGCCTGCTAAACTGACGCCTGACGATATGGAGTATTAATGTATTTGTCGAGACATTTTCCTAATTAAACGTCCGTGAACTAAAACAAAGTCTTACGTAATAAAGTCTTACATGCATCAATGTTTCGTGGCTGCTTCACAGGTGAGGCTGTGATAGGTCGTAATGCCTTCCTCTGTGTTTGCATGAATATTTTAACCCTACTTAATATAGATGCTTTCACTCTCTGGAATTAATATTAATGAAAGTAATTTGCAGGTGCTCAGCCATAATTATGATGTAAGGCTTGCGTCTAGTTTCACGTAATCAGTTTGTGGAGTGAGAGAGAAGAAAAGGATGAATCAAAAGTTAAACAGAAAAATAGAATAATGGTCGGGAATGATGTCATTAGGAGACTTCTGGCTGGGCCAAGGAAGGGAAGGTCATTTTAAATTTTAAAAGGAAAAGGAAAGGGAAGTGTTGATGGGGAACATAAGGCAAACTCTTGTTATGTGATCGAGCTGCGGTGTAATACATTTTTAATTTTCATACAGTTGAAACACGATTAAACCAACGGCCAGCACAGGACGTGAATGCACAGCTCTCTGCTAAAGTCACTCACTCATTGAATAAGACATTATGCTGCGGACACATCCCCAAGTACGTCCGGATACTGTCCATGTCAGTGCGAATGTCGTAGCCATTGATGAGAGCCGTTCCCGATGTAGGTGGAAACAGTCCAGTCAGAATAGACCTACAGAAAAAAAACGAACAAAAGTGATCCATTTTTGTTGCTGTTAACATTATCTTTGCTTAATAAACAGAGTTATTGAGCTTCCAGTGCACGAAAATTAAAGCTCTCTGCGGGAAACACAGACTAAAGATACGTTTAGCTAACATGATGTTGCCCATTGGTCTGTAGCCTCAAAAATACCTAATGCTCGCAAACATGGTTGCCAAGGTGTATCCATAGACTGCCCCATCAAAGTTGAGCACATAATGACTGGAGAGGCTGTCAGTTTGAAGTATTTTACTATAATACTCAAAATATGTCTGTCAGGGGTGTGTCCAGAAGGGGGGCATTGGGTGGCACCAACCCCTATGAAATATGATTGGCCCCCTGGTCTAGAGTTCTGTTAATCTTGAAATCCCCAACGCCCTCTAATGAGAGCTTAGCAGCAATGCAGCTGATTGCATTTACTCAGGCATGTTTAATGAGGTCTCAAGTACTTGTACTTTAAGTTTTTCTATGTTAGGCAGCTTTCTGCTTTTACCCCTCGATATTTTTAATTCAATTATAGAACTTCATACCATTTACTAATTTTTGAAAGCTTTAGTTACTTATTATAATGCAGATTTATTGCATCATTATAGCTGAAGCTACCAAGCAGTAATTATAGAATAAAATCATGAACAGCTGATTTCATTAAAGTGACACACCCATCAATGGATCAATAATTCTGATCCAACAACATCATGTATATGATTCTAAAACGCTTAATTCCACATGATGGGTGCATTTACATTAGTCATTTTAAATATAGTTAGCATATATGCTACATAAGTAGCATTATAACTTTTACTTCAGTAAAAAGTCTAAATACTTTTTGCCACTTTGTAAAACAGTTTTAAAAAATCAGCAGTAGGACAGAGGGCTCCACACGAGGATGGAAATTGTGTTTTCTACACAACTTTTCTAATCTAATTTTACTTCTTATGAATCTTCTGAATACCTGTGTTTCATTTTATTAATATGACAATAACATCTAGTATTTATACAGGAAACCTGAATGTTATGAAACATATGATATATTGCCATGCCATTGCATTGCCTGGCAACTACCCTATACTGGACAAAAATGCCTTTCATACAGTAGAGCTGCACGTGGGACTGGTAAACTAACATAAACATAAAGGCCTACACACCACAAACATGGTTGAGAGGTCCAGTTTCAGGTGATCTGGATTTGATTAGTTTGGCACCCATTCAGTGTTGAGCATTGGTAATGCTAACTATAAGCAATATTATCATTTAAGCATCTGAGTCACCACTTGTCCAGTTGTCACAAAGTGGAACAAACTACTCTATAAGTCATGCTGTAGACATGTTTACATCTGCTGTAGCATTTGGGCTATTTTAACATTTGAGTTACCAGCTCATTCCCATGCTACAGAACTGTTTGGTCTGTTCATGGCGTCGCTGGGTTGATTTACTTAATCACACTGGGAAAAAACAAACAAATAAATAACTAAATGATAAATATGAAACTGATTGTGTAAATATATCCCCATTTGTGGGTCTCTGCAGTGCTCACATCCTGCTGTACCAATGTACAGTAAATGCCATTGTAGTCATCTAATTGCAGATATAAATTAGATGTTACTCTCATTAAATAGATTATAAAGCTTTCATGGTGTTATTGGTGGTTCAGTACTAAAAAATTGGTCATCTTAGCTCCAGGGTAGACAACATGATGACATTATTTCATTACAATGTAGCTTGCCATCACCAGTGTGTGAATGGGTGGATGACTGGTTGTGTAAAGCGCTTTGGGGTCCTTAGGGACTAGTAAGAGCGCTATACAAATACAGGCCATTTACCATATAGAGGCACGTGTGCAAAATTAGGCTGCTCTAGTCCTGATAGGGTAGGAGGAGTTCATGAGCAAACAGAGATGTGTTATAAATATATATCATTCTACTCAATAGGTCCTATTTATTAAGGATGTTCTAATTTTATTTCCCTAAAGTATAATATTAGTGCAAATATCAAAAACTGTTGAAAAAAATACTGCGTCAGACTATTTAACACTAAGAAAAATGCAGAAATATTAAATTAAAAGTTAAAACTATGAACAGCTTGGAAATGCTTTTGTGTTTTAACTGTACTGTAATACTGCATGTCACTGATAGCTACTGTGCTCTGCAAAAGCCTCAGCAAGCTCTTATGTGTGCGACAGAGTCCTTCCACTGTCCTTTCTCTTATTGTGATCTGTTATGTTTCGTTCCAGTCGCTCTGCACGGATGTCTTCCCTCTAGCCCCTTAGTCTTGCATCACTTGCTCTCTCTGTCGCTCATACTTTCTGGCCGAGTGGCTTTCATTTATTTCCTGTCGTCCCAAACCCCTTCCAACCTTTTTTTTGCTATTTTTTAAACAGCAATTAGATCGCTCCCACTATCAACACAACAGCTGAGTCTCTGTGACAAACGCCCTCACAGAGGAGGCCACTCTTCGAAAGCAGAGACCACTTAAATAATGTGGCTGGAGTACAGTCGGCATTATGTACACTATAGATCAGCTGAAGCTCGTGAAGTGAAATGAACACTGAGCCAAGCAGCGAAACATGTCAGAGTTACATCATTCAGCTCACATTGTGGTTGTTTTTCCAGCTCCATTGTGGCCAAGAAACGATGTGATCTGGTTCTCGTAGAAGTCCACGCTCAGTCCGTCCACGGCGAGCTTCTTTCCAGTCTTGTAGATTTTGACAAGATTCTGGATTGACACGCCTGCTGTCATATTAGGTGGCGGTTTCTCCATATGGTCTTCAGACAGAAATGCAAACCAGTATAAACACACACACACACACACACACACACACACACACTTATGAAACACAAAAGCAAAAAAGCAGGCGAAATGAATCTCTAATATGAATAAATGTGTTTAAAAGCCACATTAAATCAGCAGCATTAACAGATCATAAATGCTGAAATAAAACATTTAACTGATCATTAAGGTGATTTTATTTGCAAACACAAAATATAAACTCAATGTTATGTGTTAAATAAACTTACAATCCATATAGTAAAACAGGAAGATGAAACCATAATGTTCAGAACACAACAACCAAACCAAAGTAGCCTCCATGCTAACTGGAAATTGTGTTTTGTTAGTTTTTTAGCAAATTGCTAACTTAAGACTAACATAGTGAAACTCTGTTGTTGCCGTACATGACAAGTAAGCCACTAATGTTTGAGTCTCTAAACCAACTAACCAGCACATGAACAAACTTGTCACAAATGTCACAAACGCTGCACATAAAAACTTGACATGTTACATACATCACACCGCAAAGGTGAGATATGAAGGTCGGGTTTACCGTTGTGTACGTTGGAGTGTGTCAGCAAACTGGGCTTATCATCAATCACGGGTGCCGTTCCACGCCAATAAGATGCAGTAAAAGGGAAGTACCATGGCTTAGGGATTCCATATTGACCTGGGATCATTTTCCGAGATCATTATTCACATTTTAATATTGGCCTGGCTTAAGGGAATATGGTACTTTACAATGTAGGTTTCCTCCTGACAGCCTGGCACAAATCCTGAGCTCTTTAAACTACAGTCTCTGAGGAAAGCATAAAGTCTATGCTCCTGGATATTTGAGTATATCATTCTATTTTTACACAACAACAACAATAACACGAACCAAAAAAATGTTTTAAAAAAAGCATCAACAAAATTATTCCACAAAGACAAAAATATACCTGGAAAGACATTTTCAATGTACCAAGTGAGCACCCAGTATAAAACAGCATCAATAAGCATCATGATGATAGATGTGATGAAGGTGTAGCGTCCCCCATCTTCTGGACTCTTGGCGATGTTGTGCCACTGAATACCGACGCCTTGCTCCTCAAATTTAGAAAAGTTCTCGCAGCCGTATCCAAATGCCACACATGACAATAAACTCTGGGAATAAAGGATATGCCATTGAAATCATTAATAGTTTGCTTATTTTGTTTTCTCAAGAGATTGCAGAAAGTTCAAACTAACTAAAAATAACTAAATGGTGTGTAGAGAAGAGCAAGCTAGCTGCTAGTTATTAGCGTTGTGTAAAGACTTAAACGAGGGCAGCTAGCCTCTCATCGTCTTAACTCTCAGCCCAACACAAATACTGACATTACATACAAAATGCTTAGACACCACACGTTCAGAAAATAGATTTAAAAAAGAGGCAGTGATACATCTTCGGCATGATTCCATGATTTTTAAAGTGTCAGTACTCATTCTTAGGATACAGTATCCTCACAGCACTCGAGCCCTGTCGGGGGGGAAAACCAGAGGAAGGGTTACATGTACAACTTATTAAACTTGAAAAAAAGGGAAAATGCTAATCTTTGTTTGCATATCTCAGGACTAACTTTAGACAGGATGGACACTAAAACGAGTCTGTGACAAACAAAGATATGTTGGATCTTTCCCACAGTAGGAAACTGCAAATGATGCTTTGCCCGGACGACATCATCTGCCATGGCCTCTCACTCTGCATTGCCATGTTGCCTGCCAGCTGTTTGATCACGCCTCATTTGCTCGCAGCATTTATACTCCGGCAGAAGTGTTTGCTGAGGCTTTAGAGGCGAATCATCATGGAGACGATAAACCTGATGTTACACTACCAGGCAGACAATCTGAAAAGCTCTGCGCTGATGCCAAACCGCTAGTCTGGCTGCGACCACTGCTGGGCAACTTTCTGTGATGTCCTCTAGTCACCATCCGCCCATCAGTCAGTAGATGAGCGCTGACAGGAGGGCTAGTCGGCACCTATCCTTGACCTCTCTATGAATGGCTGACGAAATGACAGGAGCCACTCCTTTGGCTTTGGGGAAAGGGCACGAGTTGGGAGGCAGACAAAAGAAGCCTGTTCTATTGAACACGTGTCAAACGGCAGATTCAGCCATCATTCAGTCGGCTGCAGACAAAAAAAACCCCACTGTTGCAAGGTCACTCTTTCGAAGTCTTTTCGTAAGCCACCCTCCACAAGTACAGCAGACACAGATGCACATCCTTTAAAAACTGCACGAGCACAATTCATGAAAATGGCTGCGCACAAAGTTTGTCCACCTGTAAAGTGATGGACAGCGAATGAATTGGAGATCAGCAGGATACTCTGATAGCTGCTTAAGGCGCACAGCACACAGCTGGGTGCTTTTGTTGCGTGGCATTTCTCTTTCCGCTCATTCCCCGTCCGCCTCAATGCTGCCGGCTACTTCACAAATGCAAAACTAAGCCTGTGCCCACCTTGACTGATAATAAAAATAACCCTCAGCTGCAGCCCCAGAGGAGGCCCAAAGAATACTTAACAATATGCTGAAAATCTGAAGATTCACCGCACCACTGTAGACCTGGTTGTATAGGTGAATTTACCGATTCATTCCACAGGAAGATTTTCCAGGACAGGATGATTAATTGAAAAGATCTGCAGATTTCCAGAACATGAAAGAACTTGTGGGCCCTCTCTTGTTTCTACCTCTTTAAAAAAAAACGGAGGTAAGAGAGGATACAGCAGACTGCACCCTGTACTACAGTGGCCCTCTTCTTGATACACTGCCTCCGGCTCTCCTTTGCCACATGGCTCCAATCAAAAACTCTTCATATGAATTCAGGTGATCTTTTGAAATTCGATTACGATTAAGGACTTCATTATCAAGGACAACGTGGGGGAGAATTTGCATGCCCTTGCACGAGGTAGTTTCATCCGACCTGGGAGAAAGAGAGAACCTGCACACACACACAATATACACACACATCTCTGATAAAGTGCGGGGATGAACTGGATAGCGGTTTGGTCAGAGGAACATTGCTCATGCTAATTAGAGGGCTAGAGGGCTATCCATCTACTTGGAGCAAGGGAGAAAAATCTCAGCGCCAGGGGAGAACCAAGCAATGGCACTTTGTGTAGAGATTAAATAAGGTTTGCTGTGCTTTATATGTAAAATACCTACCTCGCCTGCACGCATTCTGTGAAAAGAAACTGAAGGAAAAGTTTTCTTTCAAAAAAAACCCCCAACAAAATTACTTCGTTTTAAAGGATCTACTCAAAGACAGGCAATTTCGGGTCGACGTGCTGGAACAGCTTGTTTGCGCAAAAACAAGGTGAGCAAACAGTTTCTGAAGATAAAAGCAGGGGTGACTTCTATCAGCTCCCAGCGTAAGATATTATTGATTGCCGCCATGTCAAAAAATTGATAACTACGATACACAAGACCGGCCACCCACGGCTGGTACCGCATCGCTCGAAGTGACATGAAAGAAAAGGCGGGCCTGATTAAAATTCTGTGAAGACGCACTTGCACACGCTGCAATGAAGATTCAAGATATTGCGTGCCTTTGTCTGCAAAAGACAGCTCGAGGACAAATGATACCAGCGCTACCATAAAGGTCACGCAGAAAGGCTACGCTGAAAGTTGAGCAATGGTACACAATTTATCTTTATCCCTCTGAGGATGGGAGAAAAATCAACAACTTCCTCGTCTCTTCTTTCAGGTAAACGTCTCATGTTTCTGTCACTTGAGCATGCCCGTTTTTTTGTTTGTTTCATAAAGAAATCTTCAGTATTGTGCGAAATATGTCAGCCTCAACAAGCAGCAAACAATTCACTGTCACATTATGGACAATAAATACAATTTGTAGTAATTTTAATGTCACTGGACCCTTTAATTCATCTTGAAGGCTCGCACCTTATTATCGGGAGACGAAAAAAGCTTCCTTTCATAACAAGCTGCACCAGTGAAGTCAAAGTTATTTCTTTTTGGATTTAAAAGGCATAAGAACGAGATTTCTTTTAAAAACAAGCAACTCTGACTGACACGGTGTGATTATAGTGGCGAGAAAACACAACCTGGGAATATAACTCAGAGTACAGTCAGCCCTCGTGTATAATAACAGCAGGGGGAGATATTAAAAACTGTGTCAGCTAAAGACGGTCTTACCACAGCAACCTTGGCCCCGAAACCCATCACGTCCCTCCAGGCGTAGCAGAGGACGTGCGGCAGGTAGAGGACAAAGTAGATGAGGCCACCGCACGCCGCTGCTAAGTTGGCCTTAGAGAAGAAGACGCTAATGAAGAAGCACTGAGAGATGGTGGCCACGCAGAACACCAGGAAGAAGACAAAGATCACTGAGGGGTCGCTGTATTGGAGGATTTTGCCGTACTGTGTGAAAAGAATTGAGTGGGAGTGGGGGGGAAATAACAGAGGAAAGTAAACATGTAATTTGATATCCAATAACAAACAGGTGGGGAATCCAGGAGGTTATCATTGCAGAATCAAGCAAGCAGGAGGATTCAGAGTGAAAGCTGTTTGACGATCCTCTGGCATATTTTCTCAGCTGACTGTATATTGTATAACATAATCTAAAAAATCCCTAAACATGTCACTCTTTCACTCTGCCACTTTGAAGGAGGACCCTTGTCTAGTTTTAGAGAGCTCCTCGCAAATGAACCAGACTCCCTCAGTGAGCAGTGATGCTGATTTCTTCGTCAAAATTTAATTCAAAGAGCCACTTGAACTCTTGGGATAATGGTGCTATTGTAACGAATGCAATTACGATTCACATCTTTACAGAGGACGCCGTTTGAGGGAGTTGTACGATTGTTCATTGTAGAGCTTCTACATTTAGACGGCCTAAATGAACTTGTGTTAGCATCACGGTAAAATTATCTTCTTTTAGTGCTTAGGTTTCACTCCTGATTAACAATTTATCATGAACCTTCAGGAGTTCTTGATAAGCAAAAAAAAAAAAAAACTCTCTAAAAGTAGTTGTGGGTCCTCCTCAGTGAATCATCGTTTAATCATTGTGGAATCACCTTGAGTATAAGGGTAAGGAGGAGAGAGCTGACAGCCAGCAGCAGCACACTGGAAACTGCCCAGCTCAGCCAATAGATGTCGCTTCTCAAGCCCATGATCCTCATTGTCTCCTTAAGCCTGGCTTCTTTCTCTGCGACGATACCCTTAATGATCATGGCGACAGAGTAGATCCAGGCTAAAGTCATGTATAAGGGGAGGGAGCTTCCCAGCGAACGGAGGAACCTGAAAGGTGGAGAGAAGCCAGCCCAGCCCAGATACTTAAATCTGGTGTTAAATCTGCACAGTAACTGGTGATAATATCGCACTTTTTTTCCATTTTCTTAAATCTGCATACTTTGTGACTTCTACGTAATAGCATTAATTCTTTGAATAATCAATTTTCCTTTCACATCATACACTATATATACACTAATCAGGCAACTATTTTTATGTTTTGCTCATTGTGTGCAAGAAAAATGTCCTTGAAGTGTAAAAAAAAATAATTTCTAAATAAGAAAAAGTCAATCTAGTCACTGCGCAAGTCAAATTCTAAGAAGTGGCTGATATAGAAAGGTCAGCGCTGGAAAGTGATAAGTTGTGAGATGTGTGGAAGGGTGGGGTCACGCGAGGGTCGCTGACAAAAATGTCATGCAGGCGTTCACCCATTTATTCTTTGAAGCTTGGATTGAATGTACTGCTCCTCATACTGCGTGTAATAACGGTCCCTTGAAGATTTCCATTACAAGCTCTTGTCATTTCCCTTTTCCAGTGAAGAGGTCATACGTGGCCTTTTGCCAGACATGACTCAACTAGATGAAGAAGGGAAACTAGATGGCTTTTTTGGCTTGTTGGGTGGATTTTTTTTTTTCTTTCTGAGTTTAATTAGCATCGCTTATCCAGCTGGGCGGCAGTGGAAACAACGACACTGACAATACTACAAACTGTATGCTACAAATTATGTAGGTCTATGAGAAAATCCTATAGAGCTCATTTATGACCTTACTGAAAACTCTCGATGTTTTTTAAATAAGTTTAAAGTCTTATATATAGTCTTATAAATGATGGTGATATTTAGGGTAAAACAAAGGACAGAGCAGGGTACACTTTGCGATTGGATGTTTTGGCAACACAGGACTGCTTGCGTGTCAAAAAAAACAAGGTGGTGATGGTCAAAATCTTTAAAAAGAGCATTCAAACACTAAATCGGTGTTGGTGCTAGAATTTAGGAATACAGGGTTTTATTCTTCTTTTTGCTGAATGCAGCTGCTTGCAGTTATAAATGATTGCATGAAGCAAACTGCAGGGGAATAAAACCAAAACAATGACCTGAAAGGGGCTAAAACAACAGCTAAAGGCAGTCCTTTTCACACTAAGTACTTATTTTTGTAGATGAAATACATTTGTTACATTTTTTACTCCAGAAGCTGGAAAAAAAAACACGTTAAAGTGAAAAATTGAACATTGCGAGATGTAAGTAAAAATGCTGCAATTACAATTTTCATTGAGTATGTAATAAAATCCTAAAATCCTTTTTTGTAGCAGTAATGTATACGTTTGGATGCTTTTCATGTTAATTGCTAGTTTATCATATAAAAGCTCTGTATGTTTTTAACACAGGTTTTGTATTTAGATTGCTAATCAACAGGGGAACTACATAACAGAGAATGAAATAAAAGTACTTTTAAAACATTTAAGAGTCGTGTTTCACCACTCGCACTTTAACAAGTAGTTTTACTTTCTATTTATTTTGTTGTGTGTGCCCGAGTTATTAATCAGATATCAGTGGCCTTTCCGACTGTGAAGGTGGTCTCTGACGTTGTCGTTTGCTCTCTTTTTTTCAGCTCTTCTGCACAACAAATTAATCCGGTTTTAATGACCGAGCGCAAACACATCAAAACATTTTGCAAGGTGATTTCGTGTTATGGGAACAAGAACAATACACTGCTCGGGAGAGTAAATGCGTATTGATTCGCGCTGATCGGTGTTAGTTTTAGTAGCCCAAAATCTCATCAAATAAACAACTTGATTCAGCTGATTTCAGATAAGAACCAAGTGTGTAAATACATCCATCTGGATGCCAAACGGTAAACGCATTACTTCCTCCGTAATGAAAGAGGAAACAAGTGTAAAATGACAGAGGACTCAGGTGCAGATGACAAAACCGGTTGTTGTCACACCTAATCCAGATACAGCCTTATGATAATTACCATTTGATTTGCTATTATTATTAATGTGCTGAAAATGGCTGTGAAATTATCATTTAGAATGGGCCCGTGATCTGAATACACATCCCGCGTGCAGTTGCTCCTCCAAGGCACTCGACTAACTCAATTTATTGTTATTAATGTTTACAAATTGTTGATGGCTTGCAAACACATTAGGCTGATGGGAAATTACATTTCATCCAGCTGTTCAAATATCACTTTTTATTTACCAGCCACATTTTCCAATTAAACTGCAAAAATTGATTAGGCCAATCTTAAATAACCATCCTTTTTTATTTCATTAACTACGCCTACAAAACAAGGGGCTGTTGAAGAACACGCTCTAGCTAAAGGAGACCAACAACGGCGCTGCTGCCATTGTGCGCCATCAAAGGCGTGAACGGCCTCCTTTTTTATGATAACGATGATTTCTTGTTATTTCTTAATTGATTTTTTCAAGCTGTGGATGGCTCACGCTGATAAGCAACCAGCGAGTCTACACGAGATCAATAGATGTGGAGTCAAACAACTATTTTCATTTCTCATATTTAGATCCTTGCTAACAAAGAAAGACATAATCGTGCATGCCTATTGCTTCTTTACCCTCTTTGGGAATAATAGCATCTTCTTTTGTTTATGACGTGATGTTACACCTACCTGATGATTAAACTTACAATTCATTATACACCAGGAGCTCTGCAGTGCAGAGGTGCACTACTCGATTGTACTGTTGTTTTCATTTTATTGACCCAGTGTACATTACAAATGTATTAGATGGCTGGCAGAATATCAGATACAGCAAATGTAAATACTGTTAAATAATTAAACTATATAAAGCGGCGCTATCTCTGCTGTTCTTTCGAATTCTATCCGAGGAATGCAGTTTTGTTTAGGCCAGCTTTTAGTATTACTTGTTCTAATTTGTCTTAGCTGTCCAGATACAGGGCTGCAAAGAATACTGAGGTCCACACTGGTCCATCAAGTATGTGTCAGTTACTACCCTCACCCTCCCCTTACAGTTAAAATTAAATGTCATGTAAAATTAGCGTGCAACATCCAAGTGGCAAAAAAAGAGTAAATATCCATTTTCTTGGCTACTGAATGATAAAAATGCACTTCTCAGATTAAAAGCAGGTCGCGATTACATCTTGAATTTTAAATACATCTTGCAGGATTGTGTTGCGTGCTGATTTCATTAGCAGGAGAGGCCTAATCATCCAAGAATCATCCGTCGAGATTTGATTCTGTGCACGGCAATTCGTTCTGATTAACAACGGCGGGCTTAGCAAAACACAAAGCATAAACAATGTCGTGACCCGAACAACTTGTGACCAAGGACAGTAAATTTACCGGATGTGTATTTTTTCTTGGTCTGACGTAGCAGCACTGTGAATTTATAGTGTTTTAATGTATCATACATCCTTACATCGTATGCTTTGTGTTTGGCTGCTTTTCACCGAGCGACTCCTTTCTACTGACCTTAACCATGACACTTATGAGCGCACAGGGAACGACTAGCAGAACGATGTTCTCCGTGAGCACTGAAAACCAAAGAGCGCCGTTTTGCACACCAACAGCGCGCAGTACTTCCTTGAGCCGGAGTTCCTTCTCCAGCACCAAACCCTTGATGGTCATGCACACGGTGTACATGAAGGCCAGTATCAGGAACATGGGGAGAATGCTTCCAATACTCCGAATGAAGCTGGGTACAGGAGAGAACGAGCAAAGAACATCAGAACTGCTACGCTACAAGAGGACACTCTTCACAATTACTCATTCTCCATGCACGAAACGATGTCCAGATGCTTTTTTACATCATATACATTTTGTTTTATTTATTCTCCACCTACATTTTTTCAAATTTTAACTTCTGTTACAGCCTGGCTCAATACCTTTGAGGTGTTTTCATTTTTACGCCGAGCTAACCTTTTATAAACTTGGTGCATCAGCTCAATTGGGCATTTAGTGCTTCACCTCATGCCAGAGATGATGTATGATTTGATGCTGTTACAACACAATAAGGGGATATTAAACCGGCTCTATAATGCCACCAAAATGCCATGTCAATATCTTCCCCACTGCCAATATAACAAAGTGCTTCCTTTGCTTTATTAGACAGTGAAGGAGAGATATCAAATACATTCTGACAAAGTATAAACTCTACACACCGCTTGTGTTTGCATTCCATAAATATTGAGGGTGTAATGCAAGCAAAGCAGCGCTGAGCACAGATGAACGGATGAAGCACAAAGTGAACGTGCTGTGTTTGAGAGCACGGAGCTGCTTTAGAATAAATATCTCCTGCGAGTCCTGACAAGTTATTTTTAAGACTTGCCAAGTTCGAACACTTACCTCAAACAAGTACTTCACTTAATTGCTAGTTAGCTCTGCATAAGTGCTGTTGAAGAGGTGATTTTGAATGTGTTATTTCTGTCTTGCTTTCAATTTTCAAACAGCTGCTAATTGTTTTCTTAAACCTGTGTTTATATTTCACAAACTTGTGTAAAAGTTCTGGACACTTAATAAAAATAAGCGTTTAAACCGTGAAGGAAGCTCTGCTACACGAGAGCCTGAACGACAGAGAGAGAGAGAGACACGCTTGCTTTTTGTGGATGCTCGCTTGCCCTCGCGGGATGGATCACTTTTCAAACGAGGTCTGGAACGCTGCAGGAAAGGATTGGTTGACACAGAGTTTCAAGAGGCTCAGACACCAGAGCAACTAAATCCAAAATCCTATATAAGATTACATAAATAAAATCTCTTCTTTGAACCCCAAAAATTCCACTTGAGGAGATCACAGAATCAATACACTGAGCAAATTGATACATTAGCACCTTTTCTAGGGAGGTAAGCAGCCTCAAGTAGCGAGTGCTTCAAGGTGAATACTAATTCAGGCATTATCTGCTCCCGATTCTACCCTAACATCTCTGTAACAGCTGACAGTCTGCATGAGTTAACTCCTTCTGTGACTTCTCACACCGGAGGCAGAGAAATCAGTCATGCACACTGTGTCTGACTCTGACAACCTTGCCACCAGATGCTTTTGAATTATACATTTGCGGATCGATCAAACTTGCTTAAGTAATAGAACTCCAGGCAGGTCTGTGTTACGGGGCTCCCATTACATTGGCAGGCTGACCTAAATTTAGGAAAGCTAGAAGACTGATTCCTCAGTAAATCGAGAGATAGCAGAGCACAGCCTCCCGGGAGAATAGAGAACTATAGTAAAAAAAATAAAATAAAATAAAATAAAAATAGGTTCTTGTCTCAGTTTCAAAAAAGATATATTGTTAAATTCATTCAGCTGAGAAATTTATAGAAGAAAACGGGTTTATATTTATACATATGGATTACTTTTAAGCTAACACAATTTTAAAAAATACCTATCTATGTTCTGACACAAAGAGGATGTAAATGCATGCTGTTTTTCATTTTTAACAGCAAGATCAGACACAGAAAAGAAGAATTGCATTACCAATTTATATATTAGACTTACAAAACATACAATTTTAAAATCCGTCTTCTTTTAGAGAAAGACTAAAGTATTAAAGATGATAACAACTGATGGTGATGTGCTGGTTTCATAATACTAAATATAAAAGAAAAAAGAAAAGAAGAAACTAAGACTTGTAACAAATAAAAATCAATATATCAAATAAATAAAATTTAAGGTGGATCATGTTCACAGAGTTCAGACTAAGTAAAAATGTATTTCTAAGATCATCATTTATTTAACATTACTCCTCCTGAGTATGCCATTTAATGCTATCCTAATCATAATCAAAGTCATAATAATATAATAACATAATTTTTAAATGGCATACTAAGGAGGCGTAATGCTAAATAAATGATGAATTAAGCGCTTCCTAATACCTTAATAATGCTTAATAGTGTGACATTATATTAAAGTGCTACTGATTCTTTTTTATATTTTACAGTTTTAGATTTGACTTATCCATATTATATTAGTCTGCGGCTTTGCTTCCTTATAACGTGCACTAACTAATGTGTGCTCTGAACCATCGTCCCAGTCTCAGCCTGCATGCCAGAGCAGATGTTCTTTATGTGTCGGTCTGTGTTTAGTTGTAATCACACACGAAACACCACCACAATGGTTCAGTGGAGGGATGGAAGCAGCCAGGTGATGACTTTCCAAGAGGTCAGCACTCATGTAATCTCACCAAAGAATCCTTTTGCTCATGTTCTCAGACAGATTTCACTGTTGGCACACTCAAAGTGGGTCATCGTATGTCCTTGTCTTAAAAGTGCTTTCCAACTAGCTACTACTGCCATAGAGGTCTGATGGAGTGCTGCTGAGATGGTCATAATTCTGGCAGGTCTCCCATCTCTGCAGAGGACTTGTGAAGCACTATTAGAGAGACCACTGGCCTCTTGACCAAGGCCCTTCTTGCTTGCTTACTCACTTTGGCCAAATAGCTAACCCAAGGTGGAGTCTGGATGGTTTCAAACTTCTTTCAGTTCACAATTACTGAAGCCACTGTGCTCCTGGGAACACTACAAGACATAGAAATGGGTTTATATTCTTCCCCTGACCTATCCTTTGCAACAATTTCATCAGACATTTCTACAGAGAGCTCCTGGAAGTTTGTGGCAGTGGGATGATTGAGTGTGAACCACAGGATGTTATATCGAAAGCTGTGTGCCTTTTTAAAAATTTAAAATATACATTTTAGCTTCTGATTTTAATAATTTTGCAAATTTACTAAACACACTGAAGAGGAGTTTGCACACTTTCAAATGCCTGCATATTTGTATATTTGTGGGAATACATGATTTGCAGCATTCCCACTCAGGAATGAAATAAAATGCTTTTGGGGGTGGTTCAAACTAATTGCTTCTTCTACTCCCGGTGATTTTTCTAAAACACTGTCAACAAACGTTTGAAAGCTGCAATTTGATTTCCCTAAGTGCTGATTTGTTTGGATGAATGCTTTTAATACAAGAAAATAAAGAACAGAAAGGAGTGGTGTTTTACACAGTGCATAGAGTAAAAATACATCTTTTTTTTAATTAAAGAGCAGTCTTGAGCTACCCCACGTTTTTTATATTTTTCTAGGAAAATAGGAATGGGTGCAGGGATTTATTGAAACAAATACAGTATATGAGGCAAAGGAGTTTGTACAATTCTAATAAGCCTAAAAGTCAATATTTGGTGACATGGCCTAAATTCTGTTAGTAGCATCTAATTTCTTTAAGTTCTTTAAGGACATTTAAAACGCTTCTTTAGATCTTGGCTTTGATCCTATTCTGCTTCAATAAAGTTGAGGTCCGGGCTCTGGGGAGGCCAATCCATGACTGATGGTGTCCCACTGTGTTTTCTTTTGGTGTCTGTTGGGAATCATCTGATGCTTTTTAGGATTTATTGGTCACCATACGTCAGACCTTTCCTTTTTTCATAGTAACATCAATTTTGACAAGATTTTTAACATGGCTGGTTGGAATGGAGCCCCAAACTGTGGGAGAGCCTCCACCATACGCCCTCACACTCTCACTGTTATTGTACCTCCTCTGTACATACTGATGACAGTTTACACCAAAAATTTCACATTTAGATTCATCCGTCTATAACAGCGCTCCCCAACCATTTAGCGCCACGGACCGATTTATGTCTGACAATATTTTCACGGACCGGCCTTTAATGTGTCGCGGATAAATACAACAAAATAACATCAAAAAAGAGAAGATTTAGTCATAACACAAGGGAAAAGACCCAGGGAAACGATAAAAACAATAAAAAAATAACGACAAAAAACAATAAATTTCAAACCTGAGCCTCAACTCTCACGGCCCGGTACCAAACAACTCACAGACCGGTACCAGTCCGTGGCCCGGGGGGTGGGGGCCGCTGCTCTATAAGACTTGCTGTATAATTTTGGCATCAGTTTCCATTACTTAAGAATTGCTTTTTCACAGCAATTTTTCCACTCAGACCATTTCTAATGAGTCTTCAGTGAACAGTAGATTGATCAGCTGAAGCAGCATCCTTCTCTGGGCTTGAGTGTGATGCTGGGCCAACCGTATATCTAAACCATTAAGAAAAACTGTCATCTGGAACTGGAGTATAGTTTTAACCAGTATGTCAATTTCTGCACACTGCACAGAGTTTTTGCAACAAAAAATTCCCCAGTATCCTGCTGTCAGATGTATTTTTTTGTATTTTGTATTAGACACCAAATCAATACATGCACCTTCTGTTCCCCATCCCCTGTAAACAGGGAGAAATGATTTTTGGGAAGCTGGAATTACACTATCCAGCATTAAAAGCTTCTTTTCAGCCGCGGTGACAAAAGGCTCTTTCAGTGTACAGGGAGTCATGCTGGGAATATTTTCTGATATCATTAATACAGCTTGTCGCTGCACAGCACAGAAACACTATAAACATGAAACAAAACATCAATTGCAGATTTTTGCTTGTTACAAGCGTCAGATGTTCTAATTATGCTCGGCTTTTTCAGGCCCTCTCAGTAGTAACGGTGCACACGTCGGGTTAATTAGCCACTGAAGATGGACAAAAGCGTATTCCCCAACACATCCTTGCGTATTTGGCACGTTCAGTGCCGGCCACTATTATCTAACATCAAACCCATGTGAATGTGAAAGACCTATTGATGGGGAGCACAGCCTTAGGATCCAAACAAGGCATGCCTCTGATTCAAGAGCCTGCAATGGCTCAGAGGCCGCTGATAAAGGGTCTGTTTATGTGCTATCAGAGCCCGCAGGGGTCAGGCTTTATCCTGCACTGTCATTGCAGTCCTGTACACAGTGTGAATATGAAGACAGTGGGAGCTAATGCAGTTTAGTTATCTCAATTTCAAAATGCCAACAGGGTCAGCTGTGGCTGAAGGAGTCCAGATTGCTCGTAGCTCGTTGAGCGCGCGCCGCTGCCAAAAGCTAGGAGGAAATGAGGGACACGAAAAGGAAATTATTTGCGAGGCAGGTCTGATGATGAGGGTTGGGGGTCAGCGCAGATAATACTGGCTTCTTAGCTGAAGTTTATCAGCGGAGTAGAAATATTGTTTACGTGAGATTAAAAGCAGACCTACAAAGATAATAAAAAAATGACGATACGGTCTGACAGAAACTAATGATGTCATTGGCAACGGCTTCCTGGGCTGTTGTCATAACATTTCCTGTTGTATTAATATCATATACTCAAACTAAATCACCACCAATGTGAAGAAGAAAAAAACCTAAATACTAAAACATATTATACTTTAAAACTGTATTTTTTATGCCATGCATTTATACAACGCATCTTATGCCTTCTAGGTGGAGAGCACTACTTTCTGAACAGGACATGATTCATCCAAAGACTATGTTCTTTTTAAATAACATTTTAAAATCAGAAATAAGAACTAATAGCCATCTAAATGCGCAGTGTCCTTTCCTTCTTTCTGCCTGGTAACACACAGTTCACGATGAAAACAATTACCAGCAAAGTTCCTCCCCATCATGCCTCTCCGTGTCTAAGCGCATCTGCCTTTGTGTGATTTCACTCTCTATTATTTATAACAGAAGAAGCAGTTTTCGAGTGTTAATAATTCATAGAAATGCCCAAATGTCTCTGCAGAGGAAAGAGTAAATGGTGGAGTGAATGAGGGGGTACTGCTGTGGTTTACGGCTCCTTTTTATCATCTGTATTTATTAATCCTTTGTTTTTAAGGAAGATGTCCGCCGAAGCAAAGAGGCCAATGTGTACCAATAAGCTGCACCATGACTGTCTAATTTAAGATCACAGCAAAAAGCTGACCAGAGGGAAATTGTGGCTCTGATTTCGTGGATTAACAGCAAACTTAAAAAATAAAATCTGCTAGCTGTTGTTACTATAGTGATAAAAACAAGTAGAGTCATTTTCCAATCTGCAGGTTTTGTATTCTTGGTGGTTCTCGGAGTCGTTTTCAGTGAAAAGTCGGGTTCTGTATCATAAAAGAATGCTGTATATCAAAGATAGAAGCCATTAACTGCATCCGAACATGCTCATTGTGTCCTTTAGTCCCACCCACTTTATGTTTGTGCCAATGGGAGCTCTGAAACACATTACACGGCTTGATAATTATAAAGTTTGAACAGCTTTAGGGTATAAGCTGCTCCAAAGGGCAAAAAAGTACTGTTGGAGTCTAAGGGGAGGGGCCAATAGTGCAAGGACTGATTGTAGGTGCTGACGCTAATGTTTTATTTACAGTGTTATAAATTTCTGCAGTTCTGCTGGATCCTCACTGTTATTGTTCATGATGCGAGTTCATGACGTGAAATCCGGTGTGTAGCTGTCCTCTTGTTTGAGGGTGGTGTTGAGCGACTAATCAACAATGGTCACTGCACCGGTTTAGGAGGGTTAGTGCTAACAAAGCTGTATTCCAGGGGTTGAACAGTGTATGGGATGTCTTGTGGTTCCTTCTTTTGCCTGGGCTTGCCATAGTTCCAGTGATAACAAATATACTCTATGCTAATCGTGTTAGGGCTGTATGGAGGTCCATGGGAAATTCTGTCCACTGAAAGAAGATTATTTCACAGTATTTTGGATTATTATTACAAAAACAAACACTTTGTTTAGCAAGATAACCTCATTAAATAATGCTACTTTTAAGATGTTTAAAGTGGAAAAGCAACTGAAGTAAAGTCAGGCTCAAGTTTGGCTATAAATGAAACGCACTGTCATCGTGGGATTTTAACGTACATAAAGTGTAACTAAGCTCCTGTGGCCAAAATGACCCCCTATTAACAAAAGCCTTGTACAGGCACATACTAGTTTTTAAATTCTGCAACATAATGCATTTTTTTCATGCTATGCGTTGCAGAACAATTATGACAACATGCAGAGCTCAAGACAAAGACGCACCATTCCAGGGCTTGGTTTTAGCATGCGGATCTGGCCAGGACCCTTACTGGATACAGGGTGGGAATCGAACTTGTGATTCAAAGGTGTGGAGTCTTACCACTACACTACACAGATGCATTTCTAAAGCGCACGTTAACCATGAACCTTAATGCTTACTAATGTGACGCTTTAGTATGGATAACTTTAAATGACAATACACCTTTTAAATGAACGTTTCCACTGGGTTTAGTAGTTTACACTAAATCACCTATCAGCAAAATGTCTCTGTTTTGTTTTGTTTCTCATTTCTCCGAGACAAACACATCACGCAGGGCAATATTCTTCAAAACTGTTCAACAGCAGGCTTGTAGAGTTTTGCAGCCCACATATGAAGTCATCATTTTCATGTTCCCTGTAACCCCCAGAAGGTTGATTTACTGAAAATCTTGTGCTACCCAAACCACATAATACTTTAAAATTAGATTCCTAATTTCTGGAAATGCATTTGCCCATGGGTCGAGAATAACTTTGCGTGTACTGAAAGTGTGGGTATTGTGTTGTTGGTCTTAAATCTCACTGGTAATTATCTTTTCTCTTGGTGGCATTGCTGGGTTTTTCCTTTATTAATGGGGATTATAATGTTTTGCGAATAGGAGATTTTTTTTTCCTGGACTCGGAGGAAATTATGGGCGTAGAAGATTGAGTGTGATACCACGTCGTTTGTGTCCCCGGGTGGATGATCAAACACGATAGAAGCCAGCGATATCAATAAATACATCAAGAACACAGAGGGAAGGCTGCTATCAATCCTTGCATGCAATGGAGCTGTGTTGCACGTGCGCTGCTCTACGCTCACTTTGTTGAAAAGGAAGTACAAAAAAGGAAGGCATTCAAAGTGGTTGCTTAAATAATTCAGCATCCACCAACTATTCAGGAATTTCCTGTGGTTTGACTAAAATCAATAGTTTGGCCTCTCTCTTTTCCACTCGCTAAGTTTCACTCGTTTCCTCCCTCTTGCAGAAAATCAATTCATGACTACATTTACTCTTAGATTTCAGAGTTTCACTATTTACTTTTAACAATGACACAATTAAGGGTGCTCCCCGTCTTAGAGCCTACGTCTGTGATCTGTGACAGCAGAAGGGAAACACATAAAATAAATAAATGGCAAGTTACACAAATAGAACTAAACAGCTTTCCAAGGGGGAATCTGATAGGTCTAGGCTTAGAGACTGAGGAGAACTGTGTGGTGGCACAGAGTGGAAAGTCATTGTGTTGCTGTATTTCTCTTCCCTCTTCCTCTATTTACAAGGCTGACAGAAAAGAAAAAACAATGCTTTTGTACTCACGCGTCATCCACATAGCAAGGATACGGCATTTGCTGGGCAAAAACTCCCAGTGGTTGGGTTTTTGAGGTGTGCGCCCGTATAATGCCATGGTCAATCATATCCTGCAGGTAGGCGAAGCCTCCCCATATATAGCGCAGGTCGTTATAGGGGTTGTCTCTGGCTCCGGGAGACCATGACCTTATTAAAAGAAGACAGACCATGATGTGTCTTAGCAAAGGGCAAGTAAACTACAACCAGAATGGTCAGAAATACTACCCGAGATTATAAGTTATTTTAGAGGTTATATAGAGCAACAGGAACTTTATTTATAAAGACCTGATTGCTTGACAGGACAAGGATCCACTTTTTTTTTTATATATCTAGACTTACACCTGACAAATATTTTCAGCTTTCTGCTCATGAGTCTAAGGAGAAGATATACCAGCCACTTTTACATAAGCTTTGTAATTTCAGAGAAAACAAGGTATAATTAATAACACTAATTATGGTCTGGTTCCATTTACATGGTTCGGAGCCCCGGTATTGTGTATGCTCATTGTAATGTACTAAAACACTAAATAGAACTGGATGATAATTAATTTGGTCATTTACATCTGTGCTACGATGGGTCATAACGTCTGCTGGAGACTGCCTATCACAGCCTTATAGCTTTAAATGAAAGCTTAATTAGCATTCAGATTTGAAATGGGGAGAAAATAAAGGCAGGTTCTTTAAAAGGGATCATTAATGGTGACACTTGGTGAAGCTTAAAGTCAGTTTTCTGTGTCATAAAAGTGGCTCTTGTTGCACTAAATTACTATGGTAGCCTGTGCTAAAAATATAACCTGGGTAGGAGTGAGCAGGTTATGTTCAGAGTTTTGGTTAAAAATCTGTTTCTTCTTTCATTGACAGCTTAGTTTTTGTTTTATATGTGCTAATTCTCAAGCTTTACCTTACATTATAAATGAAACCCAGCTGTGAAGTTACAGCAGTGCAAACTGTGCACTGATGTATAGATGCAGTATGGAGAGTATCAAGCTGCTAAAGATAGTCTGTTTTAATCTACTGGAATTGCAGCTACTAAAGCACAGAAAACTCACCGAGTAGCAACTCAGGCAATAAAATTAGTTTTTCCTTGATCTGCTGACCAAACTATTTCTATATGTCCTTTATTAGGCTATAGGACAGTAACATCTAATGATTAAATGTATGAAGTTTAAAGTTTCAGAGCTCAACTCTGCAGCCATCGCATTAGAAATAAACAGCAGCAAGAAGAGCAGCACTCAGCATTAACTGCAATTAAACTGTTTATTTTATTGCTCTGCGCGCTACATCCTGAGATTAATGACTTTCTGGAGCATTAATATCTCATCTTATTTGCAACAGTGTTGCATTTTACTGTTCCATTTTTCATGTTGTTTATAGATTTTTATCCCCATTTTATCATCATCATCTGATGACGTCTGCGATTGAAGTAGGTGACACTCATAGGGATCATTTTGCACAGAAAAAAAGTTTTACATGTAAAACGCCACTTAATGTGTGAGCTTGGCTTGATAACTGCTCTCATGACAACTGTTATCTCCTACTGGGATTTAA